TGGAAGTGGACAACCCTAGTGTGTGTAGAAGAGGAAATTCTGCTTTCCTGGAACCATTGCCCAACTTCCCTGATGGAGAGAGAGTTCCTTAATCTGGAGCCCCAATCAGAGTGACTCTTGGACAAGCCCCTTTTTTCACACTATCTCTCGGAGGAGACAAGCGTTCGAAGACCCGACACATGGACCGAATAAGCGTGTCCGTCCATGGAGATCGGGCTTTGAGGACCAATGTAGGTAAATATTTTAGATTATACTGTAGTATTTTTGTATATATGACGCCTTTGACTTGTATAGGGAGATATTGTTCGAGATTCCTGTGCCTGTGCACAGTGAGTGCAGCGATCTTCCTTGCGAAAAGGATCCTCGAACGCTCAAAGGAAGACGAGACCTCTCGAGGATTGCAGAGAGCCAGTGCCGCAAAGCCTTCCGTGAACTGATGCCCGCGGGTCCTGATCCGAAAAGCTGACACGCCGGGGGAGTTGTAGAACTGAGCAAGTCACGGTTTCCTACCCAGGTCCAGTGGGCAGCTTCAAAGACCTCTATATATGACGAAAAGTGTACCAACTGTAATCTCAACAGTAATACGGGTTTTCCAAGTTGCTCAAGTGGACAATCCTTCAAGAATTTTAGGAGATTGGTCCGATCTCCCCACTCCATAGGAACGGAACAAAGATGACTCTGTATGTTCAATGACAGACTTCGGAGTGCCTTGGGCACCTGAACGAACGGAAGAAACGAGTGAAACGACATCTCGGTTCATCCTGGGGTATAGGAACTACGATTTACTTTGTTTGGTCAAGACACAACCATATTCAACCAAAACGAAGCTGTTTAGGATCAAAACATGGGTGATCATGTCCAAGCCATGCTGCATGCAAACTTGTTCGATTGATGTTCCTGTTCATGGACAGGATACCTTCCAACTCGTGAAACATTATTAGTCTGATTTGTTTAATTTGTTCCAACTGAGCCAGCCTTTTCATTATCTTCCCTTCCTTGAGAATATGTCTATTACAGTGTTCTTGGTACAGATAGGATTCACATGTTCACCTGGAACTGGACACCTCTCCTGCGGGAATCAGCCCACGGATCGGCCTCGGCCCATGTAGCTGCTGAATGGATTTCGCGGCTGGCTATGGTGAGCCACCGTCGGAAGCTCATGAAAAAGAATGCAAGCTCGGGAAGAAGAAACCCAAGCTCAGTTCATTGCTAGTAGGTTGGAGGCCATTGCTAGTAGGTTGGAGGCCATCGCTGGTAAGTTGGAGGCCATCGCTAGTACGCACATTCGTGCGTGCGTGCGTTGTCTTGTGCGGGCAGCGACCCGAACACGGAACCTTCCCCCTTGTGTTGGAAGGTGTCCCTAGCTCCAGTCCTACCTTCTCAGAAGGTACTTGGACCCTTCTGGCACCTACACCTTCTGACAAGGTACGACTGGATTCCTATATATGGTGTTAAAAAGATCTTATATATACCCCGGCCTCATAGTGGTGGATTATGATTTCCAACTGGGGGTAAACTTTTGTCATTCTGAGATGGTATTTTGATGTATTTTGTGTTGGGGCAGTTTTTGTCAGTTTGCTGATTTACACCTGACGGACATCAGTGATTGGGGGCCCTCAAAAAAGATCGTCTTTCATAGCTTCAAGGTACTTTACAAATTTTGCCTCTTGATCGATACCCTCCCAATTGCATGGAGAATCCTTTTCATAATGGAGTGGTTATTAATCATTAATCAAGACATATCAAGACTTAATTCTCAGAGGACGGAGAAACTGCCGGACAGTCCGCGCTTGGATTGGATCTAGACTGTCGTCGGTTGTGCAGTTTATGAGACGATCCATCCTGCCACTGGGTCTTTGGGGCCGTTGGACCTTGCGTTTTCAGTTGAATGAAACCGTTTAAACTATACCACCTTACTGCCTTACTGAAGGGTATAGGATCACAGATGATCAAAGGCACTAGATGTTTTGTTCAATGCCGAACCCAGATGAACCCCGACAAACGATGGGACTTGCATATTTGACGGAGCGAGAAACGGCCGCCAGTGTTGTTGTTCTTCAAGGAGTGAAGGTCGGTGATGCCAGGTTCCATGGATGGTCTCAATATGTCTCAATGTTGGGCAACCCCTTATTTCTTTGCGGACAGTTGAGATGATGTTGGCGTTCCGGTGTTCCTCTTGATGAATCGCCTGAGTTTTTTTTTCCCAAGGCGGTCCCACTCGTCCGACCGCCAAGTTCCCAAGTGTTTTATTGGTGGAGGGGTAGTAGAATCTTCGGAAGCCGATGCATCCGACCATGCTTGGAGACGAATCGATGCATCCAAGATACGTCAGGCAGGTCAACAGACCGTCTGCATGTGACCGCTGCTATACGAATACCAAAAATCTGCCAGATCTTGGGTCTTGAGGGTAGTTTGGAAGGGCACAAAATAAAGCAGGTCTGGTGACCTGGAGGGTTCTGGTAGGATGTGGCGAAGGAAGACTGCAACTTTCATGAGCTTTGCGACGTTTTTTGCCCTTTGAAGACTGCGTTTGAAGACTACGGAGTCTGCAACAATTGCGCTCGGGTGGTCCATGAGAGACGCTCGACCTGGCGTTTCCGCGCCCAGCAGCCACCGTGTGGACAGGCCAAGCTTCACGGCCAGTCTCAGTGTCCACGGTCGTGTGTGTGGAAGATAGACAAAGGCTTTGTCCACGGTCCTTTTGAGCGAAGATCGCAAGCTAAAAGGCTCCAGGTCTTTGATGAGTCGTGAGTTCTGCTGAGAATCATGAGAATCTCATACCAGCAGCTCACTGCCAAGTCACCAAATGAAAGCTGTTAGGCCCTAACAACCCTCCATTTCAGAGACCTGTTGGGTTCGGTGCTGGTAGAATCTCCTCAATTTTGGACTGCTGAGATTGACCGCGTTCCATCCAAACTCAGGGACAGCTGACAGCTGACTGAGATGGGCTATGTGACTCGCGCCGATTCGGGCGGGGCTGACGGGGTCGCAGAGACCAAAAAGAAAGCTGCAGGTGACAGGCAGAAGGGGCAGGCGGTCTTCCTGAGTCCATTCTGGATAGAAAGTTCTGCAAAGAGATGTGTGGATAGGATTTCACTCCAAATCTTCCTTGTATTAAAATGCAGACTCTTGATTAATACACCTCCCCTAATTACTAATTGAACATCCTCTTCAAAGGGGGGGTTTACGGTCCTCAAGAGTCTACATGAAAGTATTTCAGAGTACCAGCAGAGGTGGGTCAGAATATATAGGTACCCCTGGTTTTCCGGGTCCTAGTTCAGGTCACTGGCCACCTCTCTTGGTATAACCATGTGATGATCATGGGATCCTTTTCGATCGACGCCTCACGTGCTACTTGTGTCGCTACTCGCGTCGTTGCGTAGCGGTCGGGTCCTTCGCCTTCGCTGTCGGGTGCTTTGCTGTGAACCAGCCAACTGCAGCAACCGCTTGGACACACACACACACACCTTAAGGATCCACATACCCTTTGAGAAGGTGAGGAAGGAGACACTGTTCTGTAGGTTTGGAGGGTCCAAGTACCTTCTGATAAGGTACTTGGATCCCTAGGGACAGTCGCACACTTGGTCGTTGCGTCTTCGTGTTGACAAATCCCGGAAGTTCCCATCGAAGGACCGAGGAGGGGATTTCTCCCAGTGATCCGATAATCCGCGTTGCACATCCGATGATCGCACAGCCGAAACAAGAAGACGTGTCTGAAGAATTTCTTTGTAGGGTCGAGGCCCTCGCTATTAGGGTGGCACCGGAGGGAAGGCTCCGCATCGTGGTTCCTGGCATGGCGCGAATTGCACGCTTCGCATGGCGCTTCGCATGGCGCCCCATCGCATGCGCATCGTTCGTCGGTGTTTGTCGCTCAAAAAGGTAACTCGTTCGGTTGTGATAGGTTGGAGTCGTCCCAAGTTCATGTAGAGGCGGTCCTGGTCGTTCCAGGCTGCCCTCGATATACGTTCGGTCGTCCGGGTGCTGGACTCGGTGGGCCTGCGCGAAAGTTGTGCTTGGGAGCTGGAGCTGGATCCCTCGGCTTGGGGCTTCAGGACATGTCATTCCGACAGAATTGTAAATACACATGCCATGCAACAATGACCCTACATACGCATGCACACCTTGGAAAAGCATGGTGCATGCAATATACATGGATACCCCCAGGCCTGCTGGAGTGTCGGAAGGTGTCTCACAGTCCAGAAGATGATCACAGTCCTTGGCTGATTCATGCTGATTCGATACTCTCTAAAAACAACAAATCAGATGTTTTCTCGAAACATGTAGATCTTCGCAGTCTTCGCAGGGGCCATTTTCCAGTTTCATGTTAGGGAGTTCCTTCCATGTATGTGTTCCTTCCATGTTCTCCCTTCCACTTGCGACTGGATGGTGTTTGATGTTGGTTTGAGCAACATGGCGCTGTTTTGGGGTTGAGCCACCAATTCCGGTGAAGGTAAGCCCGACATGCAAAGTTCTTTACCTCGATCCACTGATATCCACTGTTGTTTTGGAAGTAGTTCATGTATCCACTCTTTCCACCAGAAGTCCATGCAACCAGGATGGAAAGAGTTTGGCATATGTACATCAACCAGTATTTGCTGCCAAAGCCCTCAACTTCCCTGGTCTTCGGACGAAGCTTCCGACGTTGAGTTTTCGGAACCCCCGTTCGATGGGTGACGGCGCAAGTTCCAATGGCAGGCAGTGTTTTCTGGTTCTGTGCAGTAGAGGCGAAAAAAACAATCACAGAAGACATGATGACCTTCATGACCATCTTCATGTTTCATGCGCCAACAGCGCCACATGGTCCCGGTCCTGAAGCGTATGGCGGACGAGAAGAGAAGAGTATGACCGACGACCCTCCACTCACTTACCTCACACATCCTTGGTCACATGATACTGTCACACACCAAAGCTAGCAGCTACTGTAGCACGTTCAAAGGAGCAGATAGCAGCTACATGTTCCCCCATCCCAGCCCGGAAGGAAAGGCCATGTTACGTGGCCAAAGCACCGGGCCCAGTCGCACCTGGTGAAGCCTCCGGTCGCGCCGACCAAGCGCGCGATGGAGGGCCGCCGGGGCGCCTATACCGGGGGAGGGGGTCGGGTGCGAGAAGCCTTCGGTGACGGCCAAAGGGAGGGACTGTTGGGGGGATGGTAGAGACAAAACAAGAAGATATGCATATTGCATCCATTTGAATCACGGATCATCAGCTCTTGTGACTTATGATCCACCAAGCGGAGGTGCCTTGGTTGGATGAGTAGAGACGCATGACTTGCCGTCGACCCATAAGACTGCCATAGGACTGCCGATCAGGCCAGGGGTGGTGCCAGGGGGATCAATTCGGGTGGCATATGTTCCAGTCCCATGGAGTGTATGGGTTGGGTAAATATAGAAGTACCATGTGATGACTTGGTTTGTTCAGGGTTCCAAGTTATAGAACTTCAGACCTCATCAGATGCCAGAAACTTTTGATCAGTGGACAACACCCTGTTTTCGGATTTTGGTCGTCGGATGTTCCACCAGCTCAGCAAAAACTGGACGATCCCATCACATCTTGGCTTGGTGGATCGGGCGATGATGGGCGATGTGACTATGTTCCGGAACTGGGTGAATAAGGAAGATCTGGTCATTTTTTTCCTGGTTCCAGCAACTACAAGATATGCATATTGCATTCATTTGCATCAGCTCTTATGACTCATGATCCGTGGGCCAAGAACAAAGCGTCCAAGTGGGATAAGTTGTTGGCAACACAGTTATGGAGGGGTTGCATGCGATCTAATTAAGCTACGGTTTTACCTCACTAAGTGTGGGGGTTGCAAAGTTAGTTGTCAAAAGTGAATGATGTATTGAGTTCCATGGCTAATTCATCAAGAAATAGTCTAAATGAGGTATATCTGCGTTAATTATTGAACTTCACTTGTTGGAGAAGTAATAAGTAACATGTCAATATTTTGCTTAAACATATACAGCACAGTGTGCCATTGTTTTGCACTTTGATTGTTAAATCTGAAGACGTGTCATTGTTTTGAAAGCACAGTTCATTCTGCGCCATCTCTCGTATACGAATCCACCACCACTTGAGCTTTCTATGTCTTGGTGGCCTTGCAAAATTGTGCCATCTGGCAGAATTGAGTTGCCAATTGGTGGCCGCATTTCCTCCAATTTTTATGCGTAGGTTTTTGGCGTAGGTTTCATGGTGAATCCCTTAATCACAGAATTATATGATATGTTTAAGGTTTCTCAGTGACAACACAAAGCATTGACATTTTTTGTGCTGGAGGTTTGGAGTGCTCTACAGTTTAATACATTGCTATACATGTATACATTCTGTTGTTGTTGACTCATACATATCTATATATGCTTTGTTGATTTTGTTGTTTTATTTCAGGGGTGTCCATTTGCTTGTAACAGTCGGTAAACAATTATCACTATTTCAGAGAAAGGCCTTTACTAGCCATCATCATCCACTAGTACTGTTACAGGGAATTGCCCAAGATCTATACATGTGTATGTTGCTTTTGTTGTTGATTGGTTTCACTTTTTCGTGCATGTCTAATTTCCGGATATGTGGACATATGTGGAAACCACTTGCTAGTGTGTTTCTTTGTGGCGGCATTGATTCACTTGGTGCGTCTCAATGCACTATTTAATGCAGAACTACCAGGTGGAGCTATAGTGACAACAAGCGTATACAACATGTTACCAATAGATGGCATGCTTCCTTAGAATCCACTAGTGGTGAGTCTCAAACAACAGGCTTCTTGGAAAATCATGGAAGCCCTTGAAGAAAGCAAGTAAAGGAACATGTTGGAGGTTTTGGTCTTGCTTCTTGGGGGTTTGGCTCACTCATCGCCGCCTCATGCATAGTTGCACAAAAAAAAAACACACTGCTGACATGCATGTTTAATAGCTCACTTAAGCCCTCGCTTTTAGTCACTCAGGAACGTACATAACTTAAACAGATAGTTACAGGTGAGTCAAATTGACAGATTTTTTGAACTATTCTAGTAAGAACATATAACAACCTTAATGATCTTGTTAGGTGATGTTAAGTACAGCTACTTGTAAATTCTTGAAGTGCTACAAGTGTATGTTTTCTAACTTGCAAGTGCAACAGGTAGAAGCCGGCCACCAAGTGCGCTGAAGTGGTGTAGTCTCACGAGGTATGGCGTGGCCTTCGTCGATTTCCTCTTCAGCACGGCAGCCGTTGTTTGGTGCGATGTGCGCGAACCCGAGAGATCCCTATAACGAGGCGTCCTACAGAACAGGAGAACCTATATGGCCGCTTTCAGCACCAGGCGTGTGGAACTCGAGAAAGCTGAGCCTGCGGCGTTCCTCACCAGGAGGTTCTCAGGGCGGGTGCCTCCAACAGGCGCGCGAGGCCAGGAGGAGCGCCAGGCTGGTGACCTTGGGGAGGGCTCGAGTAGGTTCATTCAGCAAGAGGTGCAGCAACTCTTCCTGAAAGCCTGGAGTGAGTTGCCGAGTGACACCATCTAGCAGCAGAGGAAAAGGAAGCGTACGACAAGGTAAAGAAGAGTGAGACATATGTGATGCCGTGGTTGAAGAGTATATCACATTCACGGCAAGCAAGAAGCCCCATCTCACCATTTCAGGGGACAAGGGTGTTGTCACCCGTTTTCCTGGTTCAGCGACGTTGAGCACCGGTGTGAAGCACCGGCTCATGTGAAATCGTCTTGAGTCCCGCACTGGCGAGTTGAAGCGCTGGAGTTGGCAGACGAGCGCAAGGCGCAAGGCGCTCAGACCGGCAGCACGAGAAACGAGCAGCATGCACGAGCTATAGAGGGCAGTTGCAGAGGCTAACAACGCTGCGTTGGTTGTGCTAACTCGCCCTGGTGTAACTGTTCTGTGTAGCTTTGGTGGTCCACCAGGGCAATCAGACCGTATGATATGTGTGATGTTTTCCCAGTTCTTGGACAGCACATCTACCGCCAGAATCAGAAATACCTGGCATGTCCCTAGATGTCCCTATGGGGCTCCAAGGTGCTCCAAAGCACCTTCTCAAAAAGGGAGCCCTGACTCCAAAAGTGGACTCTGGATTTGTCCAACAGAGGTGGGTCAGAAACCGACTGTTTGACTATCCCGAAGGGCTACCCCCAAATGGTCCGAGTCCTATTGACGGACCGTCACGTAAGAACCTCAGTTGGTTCTTTCAGCCTCGTCGCGGCGGAGAATGGGACCTGAGGTAGCCTGCCAGCCGAGGACACCCGCTCGAACTGGAGCGACGATTTAGTTTGGAGTTGGGATAACTAATAAGAAGACTGACATGTAGAAGGATGTAGAAGGTTAGTTATAGTTTATGTTTATACTTCCACCCCCCTTATGTAGAGGCTTTACAATATTTCACAATCCATTTTGTGGTGTTTCTATGTTTTAATGGTTTTATGCATCAAGGGTTGAACAGGTTCTGATGAATTCACAAGACATTCCAAAAAGTGTATGATTCGTGTGCTGTTTCCGCTGGAGCACTCAGTCAAAGTCAACATGGCTATTGATAGCAAATCATGGAGGGCTGGCGCTCAATTGGACGTCCAGATGATTGCTTAAAAGTAGGGAAGCTGCCCCAACTGTGGTTGTTTGTGTTATTTACTTCTTTCTTCTTCGTGTGGATACCTGAAGTTATGTGATATTGTGTGATGCAGTCTGCCAGAAATGGCCGGCAAGTATCTCACAAATCCTGTGGGAACCCTGGAGGAGATCCTGTCCTCATCATCTCGCTATGGTGCGGAGTGATATTTCAGCAAACATTCGAAGAGTAGCCATGTGTCGCCCCCTTCGTGGAAGAACATGTTGGCTGTTGATGTCAACCTTGGAATTAATTTTGCTGAAGCTCTCATGGTGCTGGTTGTCCTTGAACCTGTTCATTCTTGGGACATGTTCACCTCCAATTGAACCATTTAGCAGGCAGTGTGGCAGCCCGCTTTGCCTAAGACACATCGAACAATGGCGCCATTATGTTGATATTCTGCAAAGCAAATTGCAGGGTGTCCTTTCTTCAAGAAGTCAAACTTTGATACTGGAATGTTCCATGGTCTTCTTGAAACTCTGAACTTCAGGAAGTGTTGTTTTCCAAAGAGAATGGTGGACCCATCTACGTCATGCAGCGGCCACTCCGTTTGGAAATGCAGCGGCCATGATCACGGTCTCACGCGCCCTGCGGGCTGGGCGAACCAAGGGCGGCCTCGCCCTGCAGAGGGAGTCACAGCGGCTACGTCCAGGTCGAACATATGTGAAATCGACAGGAGACGCTGTTCTCCATGGTCGAGAAGCTACTTCAGACAGCGGGGAGCTCGCTGGGTCGTGCTGGGAGGACGAGGACGTTGGACGATCTTCAGGTCGGTCGCGCATGAAGATGTGTCACACTGGACTGGAGGGTGGCCCTTTTGTGACCTCCTGAAGTAACTTTGCAGTATTGGCGTAGAGGGTAACGCATGAAGAAGTGTCACAGTGAGTTTCAAAGAACTGAAGGGTGACTCGTCTTTTCACGGAGAACCTCGGAATTACAGAAAGTCTGGTCCAGGAGTCCCGGAGTTTGGAGGAAATTTGGAAAGAAAACAAGAAGGACATGAATTTAAAGGAATTTGTTCGGGAGTCCCTTTGAGAACACATTTGAATAATCTATTTTCTTACCACGAGCCCTTTGTGACTTCCAATCCACCGTCGTACGTGTTACCTCCTGAAGTAGTTTTTGTATGACCAAATCCGACGAACTCTATAGTTTTGCATGAGGTCATTCACTCACTCCCTCCCTCCCTCACTCATCACTGACCTATGGTATGGCCCATATGAGACCCATGGGACCGACACCATGGACGGTCTTGGGTAGGGATCAGGTTCATGAACCCGGAGGTCACTTCTGTTTGATGTGTCCTTTATTCAACAAGTCCGGTCGATCTCCGGACGATCTCCGTCCCCAGCAGAACCCCCCCGTCCCAGCAGAGGTTTGGAGAACTGAAAGAGGAAAAACCCCAGACACGAAGGGGATTGGAATGTACCTACACCAGGACCCCAAGGGGTGGTAGACATGGACACCCTGAATCACAGTGTCTAAGGGGCGTCTAAATAGACACCCCTTAACAGCTAAGGGCCTGGCATGCACCGCTTTTCAACCAGCTACGCCAGTGATCGGCAGCTACGCCAGTCCGGTTTGTGGCATGATTTGACGAGTCTTTCTGATTTCTGGTTCCAGAACCTTGTAGGACTTCCCAGACACGACTAATGGGACTGGTATATATGCCGCCCCATTGACCCCGACTTCAACCACCCCAATGTATGTAAATATGCCAGTCCCATGGAGTGTTTGGGCTTCAGTCCTGTGACTGGTTCCAGATCTCGGTTTTGTAGAATCTGTTTGTTTGCCATGCACCACTGTGGACAGTGCATGTGGACAGTCTTCCACACCTTCCCACTTCGTTCACGGAACATCTACAGGACACCCATCCCAGACACGACGACCTGTTTGGGACTGCCATAGGACTGCCGCTCCATTGACCCCCCTGGCACCACCCCTGGCCTGATCGGCAGTCCTATGGCAGTCCCATGGAGTGTCTGGGCATAATTTGCTGGTGGATGTTCCCTGCAAGTTTCCGGTTTGGATGTTCCCTGGAACACCAGCAGCTGGGACACCTGCAGCTAGAGGCCCTCGCCCTGCACCAGATTTGCTTCAGTTCTTTAGGGGGGTCGGTGGGCTTGCTCTGCCGGGCTTGACTTCTTTAGGGTTTGCTTAGGCTTCGGCTTGGCTTTGGGAGAAGACAGAGTCGGAAAACCTCTTGGTCAGAGTCAGGGAAACCTTTTTGTCAGAGTCAGGAAACCTGGAAACCTGTCGAAATTTACCAGGCTACCGCCTGCAGCCGCCGACCCCCAAGGGGAAAAGCTAGTGGAAGGGTCGTCCCAGGCCCTAGCGGTAGCCTGGAGCGTAACTCTAGCCTCAGGTGAGGCGTGACTGTCGATGTTAGCCTTAGCCTTAAGCCTTAGCCTTAGCCCAGCCTTAGCGTTAGAGTTAGCCTTAGCCTTAGACTTAGACCTTACCTCCCCTAGAGCATTCCTAGGAAAATGCCGGAAAAGCCTTTCAATATCTCACAAATCCAACAGAAAACGTGACAAGATCTAGGAAAAAGCAAAGGCATTGGCCGGGACCACGCCGCGACCAGCCCGGACACTGGCATAAAATAGGTTAGCAAAAGTTTAACAATTTTTTAAGGAAGTGCTGGAAAATTCTTGGAGAAGCATCCAGCCGAAAACGTAACAAAATCTAGACAAAGCCTAGAGCATTCCTAGGAAAATGCTGGAAAAGCCTTTGAAAATCCCACAAATCCAACAGAAAGCGTTACAACATCTAGGAAAAGCCTAAAGCATTCCTAGGAAAATGCTGGAAACGCCTTCGAAAATCCCACAAATCCAACAGAAAACGTGACAAAATCTAGGAAAAAGCAAGGGCATTGGCCGGGACCACGCCGCGACCAGCCCGGACACTGGCATAAAATAGGTTAGCAAAAGGTTAACAATTTTTGGGGGAAATCTGGGAACCTAAAAGCAAGAGGAAATGCTAGCCGAAAACGAAACAAAATCTAGGAAAAGCCTAGAGCATTCCCAGGAAAATGCTGGAAAAGCCTTCGAAAATTCCACAAATCCCACAGAAAACGTGACAAAATCTAGGAAAAAGCAAGGGCATTGGCCGGGTCCACGCCGCGACCAGCCCAGGATTCGAGCCCGGGACCATTTTGGACCGTGCTTATTTTCCCGCGCGGGTAGAGAGGGTGCCCCAAGATGTAAATCAATTGGGATGGCAGAATCTTAGACAATCCAGGGCACAATCACGTCGCACTTTCGTCACTGCAACAAGGGTCCGGACTGGTAGGGGAGGTATGGTCTAAGTCTAAGGCTATGGTCTAAGGCTAAGGCTTAGGCTTAAGGATAGGGCTAACATCGACAGTCACGCCTCACCCCACGGTGTGGGGTCGGCGGATATAATAAGGAGAAAGTGTAAAAATAGTTAGGGGAGGAGATGACTTTTTGTCGTAGATCAAAGGACATCCATGTCTTTCTTCTCCTTCTTTGCCCTCTTCGCAGCTTTTCTCATCACAAAAGTACAGGGATGTCCTTTGATCTACGACAAAAAGTCATCTCCTCGTCCTCCTCCTCCTCTAACTATTTTTACACTTTCCTGGGTGTATTTTTCCGGACTTATGTAGATTATTGAAGGACAGGCATATTCAGGGTTTGTTTTGGCTTGCTTTAGGGCTTCCCTTTTTTCTTGGTTTCTTTTGGCTTGGTTTGGGCCTTCACTTTGGGCTTGGTTTGGGACGTCACTCTTGTAGGTTTGTTTGGGCTTGGTTTGGGGCTTCCCTCCTTTAGGTTCCTTTGGGTTTGTTTAGGGCTTCACTTCTTTAGTGTTTCTTTGTTTGGCTTGGTTTATGGCTTTATTGTTTAAGGGTTTTCTGTTTCTTTAGGGTTTCTTAGTGCTTGCTTTAGGGCTTGACTTCTTTACGGTTTGCTTAGGCTTGGCTTAGGTCTTCACGTGTTTAGAGTTTTTTGCTTGGGCTTTGGTCTTGGGCTTCCCTTCTTTGAGGTGTCTTTGGGCGGGGCTTGGGACTACCACTTCTTTAGAGTTTCGCAGGGCGCAGGGCTTAGGTGTCATTGCTTCAGGGTTTCCTTGGCATTCGTGTGGAACTTCACTTCGGCTTCGCTGTGCTTCTTTAGGTCCAGGAGGTGAAATCACTCTCCCGTTGTGCGCAAAAGCACGGAGGCCCGGCCCGGCCAAAAACCATAGACTATGCATGTGAACGACTGCCTGCTGAAAGGCCGAGGGTTTACTCAAAAGTCACACACAATCCTGTGACCTGCTCTTTCACCTGCGAACTGATTTCAGCGCCGGCTGTCCCCAACAGCCATGAAAGGGACTACTCGTCATCCATGACCGCCAAGAGGCGCTCTATCCTGCGCATGGAATTCGCCAACTTGGCGTTTCTTCAATAGTTGGCGTTTCTTTTGGCTTGACTTGGTTTAGGGTTCGTTGGCATAAGTTAGGGATTTGAATTATTTAATGTTTTTTGGTTGGTTTTTTAGTTCGTTTGTTTTTTTGTCGGTGTTTGGGGCCGCGGCTTCGGGTCTCTTTGGGCTTGCTTTAGGGTGTCATTGCTTCAGGGTCTTGTGCGGAAGCGCACAGCACTTCGTTCGGTCTGTCAGCGTCACGGCGTCACTTCTTTGGGGCTTCTTTTGGCTTCGTCAAAGGGGCTTCACTTCTAAAGGGTTTGGAAAATTTCAGGTATAGGTGCCCTGTCTGGAAGCCTATAGGTGGTGTGGGGTAGTCCAGCCAGGACACCGACAGGAGGGTAGTGGTAGAGTTTGGTTATTTTTGTTTTCACTTCGTGACCGCCCCATTCTTTTGTGACAGCCAGTACTAGTGTCTCTGCAGTCCGGAGACAGGTACGTGGCCCGGTTCTCCCAAGTCAGTCACCTTCCTGACCGGTTCTCCCAAGTCAGTCACCTTCCTGACTCGCACTGGCTTCCAAACTCTGCATGCTCCCCGATGCTTCACGACTCGGCTTCCTCACTTTTGTCATCATCCAAACGTGCCAGCAGCGCATGGGAAGAGAAAGTTAGGGGCATTCTCCTCGCGTCAGTACTGGTCTTCGCTACGCACCAAGCTCAACGAGCCATATGTGCAACGAACAGATGACCTTCAGCTCGGAGGGAAGCCAGCACAGCAGGTGCTCTTTGGCACGGTTCGAGGAGCCTCATCTCCCCGAGGAGATTAGCGCTCTTGTCCACGGCCTGCCACGCTGCAAATGTCTCGACTCTTTCTGGCTCGAGGCAACTGTCTTCGACGCAGCACTGCCATTCTCTTCTGTGATGTGCAGTCAGCTTACTATAGAGTCCTCAGACAGGTTGCCACAGGTGCCCAATGCAAAGATGAGGACTTAGCACTCGTTATCCATCGAATGGGATTAGGACCTGAATCAATGGAGCTCATTCACCGGTCGTTTCATGAGCAGAGTGCTTATTAGTGTCTGGGTGCAGGTCCAGTCCAACAAACTGTTCTGCAGGAAACGCTGGAGGGAACGTTCTTCACGTTCTCAGGCCGAGAGTTTGTGCAGACTAGACGGGGCACAAGACCAGGCGATTCACTAGCAGACATTGTCTTTAACCTTGTCTTTGCGCGAGTACTTGATGAAGTTAATGCAATTTTGCAGGAGCACAACATGATGATTGAATTGCCGCAAAAACAAAATCGAGACCCATTGCATCCCTCTGATACTGAAGATCGTTTACCTGCTTTTCAGGTGACCTGGGCCGATGATCTTGCACTTATGATGGAATTCCCATCCGTAGCAAGCATTTCACGGCAACTAGCCTTTGTGGCCCATAGTGCAGACGCTCAAAAAGTATGGTATGGAAATCTCTGTTGGAGAAGCCAAGACAGCCATTCTAGTTTCGCCAAGAGGACCGAAGGCAGTCCAGTTCAAGCGAGAGATCTTCGATACTACTAAGGCCACATGTCCCGTTCTGCTGGAGGATTCGGTGGTGCGGCTGCCTCTGGTTGCTAACTACAAGCACCTTGGTGGTATAGTTGATGTTGGATGCAGCTTCTTGCCAGAAATTCGAGCCAGATTCACCAAAGCAAAGGCTGCCTTCTGGAGAGCAGCTAAACGGGTCTTTCGAAATCGAATATTGACAGTTGAAATTCGGTATCGCATCTTTTCTTCGACCGTGCTGTCAATCATGAACTGGGGTATTGGAACCTGGACAGGCCTTTCCTTGAAGGAACATCATGCATATGTTCAACAGTTTGGCAACTGTATGAGCTTATGTGTCCCATCAAGGGAGGCGAACCAAAGCCGGCACGGAATGACATTCGCTGCCTATTACAGTGCGATGACCCTGAAGATATTCTGCATGTTTGCAGATTTCGACACCTAGGAGGAGTGATTCGTTCCGCACCGGATTTGGTATGGTCCATGCTTTTCGAAGTACCAGATTGTATGACCTCTTACAAAGAATCGTATACTTGGGCCTTCAGAGCGCTAGGTCGAGACTCTTGTGTGAAAGATGTGAGCAGTGGGTCTGAGTGGCTCCTGCTAGCACAATCGCCCACCCATTGGGCAAGGTATGCCAACCGAGCACTAATGAGATACAAGAATTTGCGAATCCGCAATGCAATCAGTACTAAGTCACATAGAGATATTGCCGATATGCTGCAGAGAGCAGGATGTGTTTCCACTCAAGGTGTTTACCCCTGCTTGATATGTGAGAGAACCTTCACTGCGCCACAGGGCTGGTTTTTACACGCTAATGCCTGTCATAGTTTTGTCAGTGAGTCCAGTGCAGCTGCCCAAGGCACCACCTGCTTCTGTTGTGCGAAAAGGTACAAGACCACTGAGAGACTAAGGCACCATCTCCGATACAGCGGAGCTTGTCGACAATTGTTTTGCGAGCAATCGGAATTGCCAGAGGAGGAACAGCCAATCTCTAATCACCCGCAATTTCCGTGGGTACACACGGAGGCGGCACCAGTTCCACCTCCAACTGCCGAAGGTCGAGATAAGAGTGATCTCATGAGAGACCTTCATCAACCTTTATGTGACTTTACTCAGCCTGAGGATGATGAGTCGTTCGTTCCAGACCTTGCATGCCATTTGCAGAACATCTGTAGGAGAGCCATTCCTTTTCAGATTCTGGCAAGCACCTTTCAAGAATGGTTGGAGAACCTCACCATTGAAGGGGATGACAGAATTGTACAAGCAGGTCTGAAAGTTCTTGATTGGATGGAGCATCTCTGCCAACAAGGCGAACAAATGTACAACATCTCGTCATCTGATATTTTGAATTCAGAAGCAGATAGAAGAGACATGAAGTGCCAGCCATTTGAGGGTCCCGGGCGAGCATTTCTAGCTACGGAATTGCTTGTGTTGCACCTTTTTAGTGGGAGGCGTAGGGCTGGCGACCTACAGACTCAGTTGGAGGCATTGACATTACCTGACGGCGTCATTCTCTCCGTTGTGTCAGTGGACGTTGCAATTGACCCAAAAGGCTGCAATCTGTCAGATCGAGCCCAACAGAAGCGTTGGCTGGCCATGATTGCAGATGGGCATATTGCTGGCTTTGGGGGTCCGCCTTAATTGCGAAACTTGGAGCATTGCGCGATGGGTTGAAGTACCTGATGGTGGTCGAAAACCCCCACGCCCTCTGCGTACCGCGGAATGTGCATGGGGACTTCTTGATGTTAGCAATCGAGAGCACGCACAGCTCGATGTCGGCAATCGATTGATGCTCTTCACACTGCAGGCTGCTACCATGCAATCCTTGACTGGAGGGTTCAGTTGGACGGAATACCCGGAGGACCCACACCGCCAACGGACGAGGCACATGGCAGCACCTTCAATCTGGAATACATCGATCATGAGCTGGCTAAAACAAACCCATCTGTTCATTTGGCTACACGTCCTTCAGGGGTTTTTCGGTGCCCATAGCCCTAAGCCAACTTCTCTGATGTTGTCAGGCATCAAGTTGAATGATGCAGTTGCCTGTGAACAGAGTCTTAGACTACCTCAATGTGCACAAGGCACAAACATTGGCCGCGGTCAGGATGGCTGGAAAACCAGCCACCTAAAAGAATATCCGCCTTTGTTTTGTAAACTTGGAGCATGACTTTTTGAAGGTTGGCTGAAGAATCAACCAACCCGAAGAAGAGGGCTGGAAGTGTGCACACTTTGGGTCAAGGACCTGGTCCAATCTTTTGAGGACCAGGCCTTGGACGCACCCCGCCCTGACATCTTCTGTAATTAAGAATTCACTATGCTAGACGCCGAGTCCAATACAGACACTTCGCGTGACCTGAAATGAAAATGAAAATTAGTGACCGCCCCATTCTTTTGTGACAGTGGCCAGTACTAGTGTCTCTGCCTGAGTCCGGAGACAGGTACGTGGCCCGGTTCTCCCAAGTCAGTCACCTTGCTGACTCGCACTGGCTTCCAAACTCTGCATGCTCCAGTGGTTTTCCCATGCTTCCCGACTCGGCTTCCTCACTTTTGTCATCATCCAAACGTGCCAGCAGCGCATGGGAAGAGAAAGTTAGCACCTGTTTTTGCCCAAACTGTTTTTTTCAGGGTGTTCAAATCAGTGTCCCTCCTCTCTACGCATCTCCACCTCTCCCTCCGTCCATCTCCGTCCCAAACACGATGACTCCACACGATGAGGCCTCCCTGGCAGGCCAGCGGAGGAATTTGAGGCCACCATTGGGGGGCTCGTTTCGTCGCACGTGCGTCGCAGCCCCGGTGGGAACGGGCCGCGCGGTTGCGTAGAGTGAGCACCGATGGCGGAGGCAAAGGCCAAGTGGAAAACACATGAAAGCACGTACTTTATCACTATATACTGTGCTCAGGAGGGAGCGATGAGCCTCACCGGGGGTATCCAAAAGGCGATATCCCATGAAACAGGGAACCAAAACTCGGAGCGACCTTTGCACTAGCCATGTTTTACATGGTGCTAGATTTCCGCAGCTCTCACTCCAAACATCGACCTGAAAACTGTTTTTGTTCTCGGTTCTTGCATCTACCCGCGGGTCGCGACTCCGCGGGTCGATGGGCCTCACCCGCTACTCGCAGGGTGGCCTCCAACTGCCTCCGGCGCGCCTATTCCATTTGCACCAAGCGAGCGGATGCGGGGCTCCTGGCAGGACGGGCCGGAGAGGTCGGTGGGATCGGCGGTTTCTGTTGGAGCTGCAAACGTGTTGACCTTGATGGGGGAGACCATGTGCGTTAAAGAAACAATCTATATATACCACTACACGAATTTGGTAGGCACCTATTGAACGATCTTGAATGGCCAACCGTTTTTGGTAGGCAGCCACACCTGACACAGACAGCATTGCCGCAGCATTGGTGTCAAGCTAATCGGTGAATCCGTCATTGGCACGCATACCACATAAAAAATACGATTCTTACATATTCTTACATATTAATTTTATATAACATATTGTTATAACATATTATGTATTTTGGCCACTGAAAAAGAAACAACTGGTTTAAACGTCCATTGCGTTTGCCCTCGCGAACGCGACTCACGTTCGCCCTCCGTGGGACCGATCTCTCTTCCGCAACGCACGAGGACGTGTGGCACGGGCCATGGTGGCAGTGCAGCTTTGCGCGTTGAGTTCCAAAGCGAAGCAACACGCCGAGGCACTGGAGGAGGCTGGGACGTCCTGATGAAGGTCGGAGGCGATGGATGTTCGTTTTGGCAAGGGAAAGGTTGCGGGAAGGTGTCAGAGCATGCTCTACTTGGAGGAAGCGGCAGGTTTGAAGATGAATTTAACACTACAGGTCCAGTCTGAACCAGGTCCAAACCTGGTCCTAAAAGATACAACTCCAATAAAATAAAGCTTGTTGACCTGTAGGGTAAGAGATGATGTTGGAGGTTCGGTGAAGAACGACCCACAGAACTCGCAGAACGCTGGTCCGGTGGTGTTCTCCAGGTTTAATATATATAAATATATAGCATTACATTAAGCACTTGACCAACTCTGGCTGAACAATTCGACTCCATAGGCATACCTATACAAGTATCATTATGTGCCAACAGAGGTTGAAGGACCCTAGTTCGACTATCCCATAGGTACCCCATGGTTATGACTTCCTATTTACGGTCACTTAACCACTCTTGCTGGGCAGATCTCCAGTTAAGCCTATGAGTAGGGCGCCCTTGCCCGGGTGCGCCGCATGGGCACGGTCCGGACGGTGAAATGTGCGTCCCCGGCCCTGAAAAGTGGCAGAGGGAGAGGTCCTGATTTCTGGAGTTGCCACTCCAAGTCCAAGCCAATTGCTCCATGTAAGCAAGTATGGCCGACATTCATTCACAAAAAACATGAACAACAAAGGCATGTGCAGGCATTATGTGTTCTCATGGCGTGGCTGGGCAATATTCATGTGTTTGAGGGTGTGCTATAACAATGTGTGTCTTTTTCTCCAGGGTAGGTCTGGCTGTTTGCCGTGCTGCCCATGTAACAAGAATTCATTATTTTTTGTAAAGCAACAGGACCGGACTGTTGCACGAGTTGATTGAACTGGAATCCGCTTATGACTAGGTCTTCGGTCGGCGTCAGAACAATGGTAGGCCGGTCCATGCCGGGCTTGTTACCTCCAGGAAGGCACTTGGTGTTGGCGTTTCAAGAACACTTGACAGCTTCGGTCGGCTTGTGTTTGTTTCAAAATGATCATGGCCATCCCATCGAGCCAGTGACTGGTCTGGATTGCAAAGCAACGTTTGTATAGGCAGCAAACAACCACGCTTGCCAAGCATACACATTGCACCAACCTACAACCAGCGCCTGGTGCGACCGAGAGGCGTTAAAAGCCATCAGGGAAGCTGAGGAAGTGTGGAGCTCCTCGGTTTGTGGTTTCCTCCCTGCCTTGGACGCACTGGGAGGGTGTAGCATCATCAGTGATGTATTATATTATTCTTTGTTTGTGTGTGAGTGTGTCTGTGATGTTGAGAGGGTAGCAATACGGAGCTCTTCTTGTGTTCTGGCTGTCTCTTGTCTAGTAGGGCAAACGCAAGGGTTGTGTACAGAATCAAAACCAATTCAGCAACAACTACTAACTTTGTGGCAAGCCCAGGGTGCTCTCAGCATTGTAACGTGGTGGTCGTAGAACGTCAGCCGCATGCGAGCATTTGTCAGCTCCGTTTTGCAACCCCCGCAGGATCCCAAAGACTTTGGTAGAATTTCAATATTTGGATGTATTGCTCAGTCCAACTCACATGCACTTGTGTTTTGCCTCCATTCCATGCAATTACTTTTTATGCTATGCAGTTCGTTCGACTGCGACATGGTTGCAGTGCCACTTGGCCTGCCCTACTTAGAAGCTAGGAAGCTCTGCTCGCGACCCGTCACGAAAGGTAAACTGAACTTGAAGAACCGTCAGATATAGAAACCCTTGCACAGCCAAAACTGATGGATCGGCTGTAAAGGTTGAATGGCCACTTGCCGAAGAATGGTCGACCGTTCTCCATGTTCGCTGCCGTTGCGGTTCTCCTGTCGTTCCTGAGGTATCTTGCAAGACAAGAGCGAGGTGTGGTGATGTAAACGGGGAAACAGTGACCACAAAAAAAAAGTCATGTTTGTTCACACCGGCATCACTTGGAGAATCACTTACATTGTATTACCCTACAAGTCCAACGACCCAGTAAAACCAGGTCGTTTGCTTGCTTGAGTGGTGTGTTTGTATTACCAACTCCAGTAAAATGAGGTCATTGACCTGTAGGGTTCGTATATAACTAACTAGCTACAGGTGATGCTTGTTGCTGCGAGAAGCCCACCGTTTTCCTGAGTTGCTGACCAAGAAAGAAGGACAGTTGCAAAGCAATAAAGGTCCAAATGGCACACTCACTTCCACCTTTTTCCCATTGCTTGGGAAGTCAGAACTGGTTGAAATATGTTTGATCATCGGCCTCAACCAAAGGTGCAGTGTTACGACTTGTTTGTGCTTAGGGTGATTGTTGTTTTTTGTTGATTTGGAATTTGGAAGGGCGAATCCCCTTCCGGATAATTTTTACAAATCAATATGCCCGCTTTCCTTGACATCATGGTCTAATTAGAGGATGCTACTGCTGCTACTCCTGCCCAACTAAAACATACTGAACCTATTTACTAGTCCACCATGAGACGGCATGTTAATTGCCTGGAGAATCCCACAAATCATTGGAATGAAAAGCATTGACAAATGTGTTTATTGTAAAGACAAGTAATGCCAGAATCTACTGTTTCACAATGCTTTTGTGCCTTTGTTTAATTGTTTTTGTTGGCACGCGTGTGCAATGACTACACATGACTACACTACACTGACTACACGAACTAAAACAACAACAGTCCCGTTTGCCTTTACTATAAAGATCATCCTCCACTGTAACTGAAAGTAGGATAGACCCAACCCATAGTTTACCTCTGTTTAACCTGTTTGAATTCAGCCGTCGCGGCTCCCCACCAAACCCGAGGCGAGGCTGAAGAGCCGCCTCCGCGTCGAGGCTGAACAGCTTCCGGGATCGTGTGGTTTCGGTCACCAGGACCTTCAAACGCCCTTGGCGCAGCGTGCCCTGGTGGCGCCTTGGACATGTTCGGGCGGGCGGGGAGTGCGGTGGCAAAGCGCTGCAACGGCACTGCAAGTTGAGGGTGGTGCTTCCAAGGTAACTTTAATGTTGCTGTCCTGTGTGACGCTTCAACTTCATCAAAAACTCCCTTGCTTGGCCTGATCTGGCTAAAAGCAGCTACAGTCAGCGACAAGTTCATATCCTTGCAGTATGGACGGTGGTTGCAATCAAAATGATTCAACCAACAGGTACTGCATACCAGTAGGGGCCATTAGAGATAAACTGGAGTTTTCCGGACATGAGGACGGGTCAGCAAGTATGACTTCAGGGGTTTGGAGCCGACAAAATCGACGACATGGTCAACCTCCACCGTAGAGGATTGACATTTGGACCTTCAAAAGCGAACACATCAAGTCCATCAAGTAGCATCAGGAGGATACATGAAAAGCACATGTTCTGGGCTGTCCAGCCCTTCAATGCGGGGAAAATCATGTATCACTAGTAAGATTGCATATGATTGCATTATTGTGATGCTCATCCCAGTGCTGAGGTGCTGATTCAAGCCAAGCATTGCGTCGCCATTGAATTGGAGTGCCCCTGAAGAGTAAATGAGCTGGGAAAGCAGAGAAAGGGGTTCGGCTGCCGGTGGTTCGTTTCATCACAGGACCTTCAAAGTAACCTTTTTGGAGCTCTTAAGTGACTAAGTGATCTCATTCCAGACCTCAAAAGGTCACTTTGAAGGTCCTGGTTCTTGGTGCAATCATTGACCCATGTGGTTTCCTGGAACACCTGGTGTGCAATCCTCCAAGGTTGCATTGTCTTGCACGTTTGACCAGCGTAGCATACTATGCATATCTGTGCATTATAGATTTGTCTTCAGCACCTCATTTCAACCAACTCATTTGACATTGTTAATTGATATCCAAACAGAACTCTTTGCTTAACGAGTGGTTGTTCCATGGCTTTGTCAAAAGCAGGTCGCCACATGTTCCTTGCTTTTGGCCCAATATGTCTTTATTTTGTCAGGTGAGAAAGGGTTCCTAAGTTGCAAATCACGTGTACCAAGGGTTCCCAAGGGTTCCAAGGGTACCAAGGGTATCATGTCCTTCCTTCGGAACGTGCTCTTGCCTCGTTCGTGTCGCTGGGCTCGTTCGCTTCACCACCCGAATTCGGCGAAGCTGATGACGCTAGCCCGGCTGATGGGTTGGGGACCGGTGAGGTGATGGGTGTCCATGTTTTCTCGAAACTGACATGAAAACGAAGAACAGAAAGGAGCTCACTTCAGCAGTTCCCGTATCCAGGAACTGCTGGGTGGAGGTTCTTTTCCTTCCAGGCTTAGACCAAGCCAATGGGACTGCTCGGAGGTTATTCGGGTGTGTGAATGAGAGAGAAGGGTTTGGAGCCTGGCTAGAAGCAGCAGGTCAATTTGCAGGGTGCACTCAACAGCTCGACGCTTCATCTCCCAGCACATCCAACTGCAGGTACACTCTGGCCGACAAGATGCAAAGCAGCCAGGCCGGCCTGCAGACATGTGTGCGAGCTGCTCGTCGACCCGTTTTGGCCGCAAGAAGAAACTGTTTGGTACGGCTGATGACTCTGTTAAGAAAGACGCTTTTTTAGAGTAGACTCTAGAATATTTCTTAGCTATAACCTTTTAATTAAGAAATGTGGCTAGCAGGTAGACTCTAAATAAGGTTTCTTATTCGCTCTCAGCCGTCCCTCGAGCTCTAAATCGCTCAACCGCATCGCTTTGCGCATGGTCTTTGACTTCTTCGACCCGTATCGCCGGATGTTGTATAATGTTCTATCATGGTATAATGCGCAAGAATCTAAGATGAGGGGAGGGAGGGAGGCAGGGAGGCTCAAAGTTGAAGGCTCCGATGGGACTTCTAAAGGGTTTCAGACCAGTATCAGACCACCCGAGAGGAGAGGTTGGGGACAGTTTTTTGAAACAGACTTAAACAAACTGAAGCTTTTGCTCTACGTACGTATCATGGAAAGGGGTCATAGATGATGTCAAGTTTGTCATTTTACACCTGCACCCTGGAAATCCAAGGGTCATTGTCTAAAAGCGGGTGTTTGATCGCAAGATTAGACAATGCGGCCCTTTTGCCGTGTCATTCCATGTGGGGTCTGTAAGTGAGATACGTGCGGGGTCTACAGGATAATTTTGAAGGGTCGCTTTTAATTAGGTACCATTATGGTCGTAATTCGGTGCGTCCAATAGTACCTGATTGCGGCCGTAGTGGTACCTAATTAAAAACTCCTCTTCATGGATCCACTTCATGTTCTCCAATAACTTCCGATGACCATCAGTGACCATATCACTTTTGCAGCTCCACATGCGTTTTGCGCTGACGGTTTGGAACTTCAGGTTTTTGAACAAAAAATGTAAGTTCTGAACCTTTTTGGGAGCAAAGTGGAACCACGGATGTTGTATAGTGTTCTATAATGCTCTATCATGGTACAATGCTCAAGAATCTGAGATGAGGGGAGGGAGGGAGGGAGGGAGGGAGTCCAGTCATCCTTCGGCGCATTGATGCAAATGTAAGGGACTTTCCTGCTTCACTCCATTTCAGCGGAGCATTTTCCTGTTTGAGCATTGGCTTCAGGAGCGACGGACTTTGCTTAAGATGACAAAGCTGGAAGAAGACCAACGTGTGTTCCAGTTGATGAAACGGGCTGACTCATCACAGCGTGGAAAGGTGCACTTGACGTATTTTTGAATCATATAGCGTTTGCAATGATGCCTTCATGAAAATGATTGGCATCGGGAAATGCAGATTTGCTGCCCTTCGCAAGTCTGCCCAGGCAGGTGAGGAGTTTGCACCGTATGACCTCAGGTTTTCAGCAAAGGGCAAGAGGCCCATGTCCAAGAAGCGTGAAGTTGTCCACACCTTCTTGACTCGCCTGTACATGGAGCAGGCAGAACACTTGCCAGACGGCTGCAATTCGAACAAGAGACCGCGGCAGGGATTGTAAAAATTCGACAGGGCCGACTTACCTCGCGATGCCATCAAGCACCTGCCATTTGGCAGCATGTGCGTTTTGGAGAGCCCTGGAGAGGGCATTGGCCGCAAAGTCTTCAGCTCTGTCCCTTGATGTTTGCGATCAGGTCAACATTTTTTTGTTTGTTTTGTTTCATTTTTTTTTCTTGGGGGCCTCTGTTCTTAGCAAGGTCTGAATGGAGGCGTTCGAACACAAGTTGCGGATCGCCTTTGGGGGCCTCTGCTCTTAGCAAGGTCTGGATGGAGGAGTTCGAACACAAGTTGCGGATCAGGTTCTTCTCCCACCACACGAAGTGTGGTCAGTGCATACGGCACAAATTGTTGTTGAAGCGGCTTGGAGGCTGTCCACCAGCCAAACGTGCACAACGTGCACTGCTCATGGCACACTTGGCCAGGCAACATCGTGACAGGCAGGTGTACTGGAACCTGCGCAGTGAATGCCGTCTATACATATATGCTAGCACTACAGGCTGGAAGTTTTGCGGTATTCTGGACAGCATGGACCAACAGAAATATTGCTTTCCGCGCTCGAGCGTGATGCAGGGGAAGGATTTCAGCAAGATGAACCGTCCTCGGATGAGTGGCACATGCCTCTTGTTGCACGGACACGCGGCCCACACGTCCAACTCCAGCAGGACAATGGAAATCTTAGCGGCGGCCCTTACATCCCTATATCGATCAATAACAAATGATGCGCATCAAAGAAATAACAAGACTAATACGCATCAATTAAAAATGTTTGTCCCCTCATCCCGTCTGCTGGTCCCCTGGTCCCTTGGTCGAATGGTGCCCCGGTCCCTTGGCTGGTCCCCTGTCCTTCTGGTGCTACATAGGTCCTTTGGGCACGTGCGTCGAAAAATCAATAATGTATTATCAATCCATCTTGTTGCTTATGTTTGTGAGCCCAAAACTGCCGCTTTTGCTGTTTTTTGTGCATTATTTCTTGCTTGGTTGCTTTTTCCTGCTGTATCTCACAGCTTCCTTGCTTTCCTGCTTGTGTTTCTTTGGTTCTTTGACACAAGACCTAAATGTTAAGATCAGCGCTCCGTGCTTCCCAAAGTCTCACCTGGTTCACATAACGCTGATCACCAGGAAATCTGCATAACAACAACGTAACACATAGACCTTTATCCACCGCAACCCCATAATGGCGGATGCTAAGGGCCACATGAGACTTCGGCCATCTCACAACAGTTTTGTCACAAAAGACTTTGGGTGCTTAGATCAGCGAGATTTTAAAAGCGCTGCCAAGGCAAAATTGCATGCCTTTTTGTGAGCCCCCTGACGGTAAAATTTCGAGGAGGAAGGTGTCATTCCAACGGCGCAGACCTAGAGGGTAAAATGTAGAGAAGAAAGGGGCCATTCCTCTGCAGCAACATGCCTGTGTGCAAGGTGGGTCGCTGCATGTGCAAGTGAGTCACGCGTGCGCAAGTGAGGTAGCTTTTGCCTGCGCAAGTGAGACAATTCCCACAAACGGATGCTCACTCTCACTCACACTCGCACCTCTCCTCTCCCTCGACGGTTCAGGTCGCGGAGTTCGGGGGCCATTCCGGGGGTGCGTGGCCAACTCCAGTAGCATGCTTTCATGTCTTCTTGTGGTGAATGGGCGCCTTCATCCTGACACATCACCAGACACTGACGAGGACAACACCAGCGCACTGTCGGACACCGGTCCCGTCATGATCCTCGTCGATCTGTGAGGCCTCGATGATTCGGGAAATGATTCCAGCGTTGCACGAGGAGGCGGCTCGGGCGTCGGGTGTTTCGGCTTGGCAAGGCTGGCGTCGGTGTTTCGGCGTGTTCCTTCAAACCATGAAGCTTCACGGTTGGAACATTCACAGTGTATGACCCGTTTGGTCTCCGGTCGTACCTTCGTTTCGGTTCGGTGGGACCGGGGTGGGTGCCAGGAGGGTCCAAATGTTTTCTGAGGAGGGACTTGGAGGTGTAGGGTGATTGAACTACAATTTTTGAAGTGCGTTTTGACTTATTGCCCTTCATAAGTGAAGGCTTGCAAATGTCATCCAACTTGGATCGTTCGAACTGGTGGGTCAGGGTAAATATAATATGGATGCGTTGATTGCTTCTGTGCTGACAGCGTTGAATTCTGCACAGTGTCGGAGGGCTGTGAAACTTTGCTGGACTATCATTGGAGAACCATCCGATGGGCCACTATACCCTCACTTCATCGGAATCCAACGCTAGATTCTCACGATGTTTGATCGTCAATGCCCTCCTTACAGGAGTTGTTTTGATTTTCCATGAGGATCCAAGAGGATCATGTGTCCAATATGAGGCTTTGCTCAATACTCGCAGCGTTGACCCGCTGAATTGTGTGATGACTGGTCCTTGGTCCACTCAGCAGATTGTCAGGGGACTATGTATACTATACTTATATATCATCCAAGTGTATTTGTTTGTGCTTCTTCTTACCGCTTTGGTTGTTGTTTTTGCCACCCCTTGGCACCTCAAAATGGCCGTCAGGCTTCCACTCCTCTACCACCTTCTGGGCCTCCCTTCCGTTCCGTTCGGGGCAGCGGAGCGGACCACCACCGAGGCGGCCGCGTTGGCGCGGCTTCTGCCCGAGCGGAGCGCTCTGCGGAAGGTCTCCTTTCGCACCAAGGCGTGACGCGGTGGGGCCATTCGCTCGCGAACCGGCGGTGCGCGAACCGGCCGTGCGCCGGCCGGTTCAGCCCAAGGCGTGATGGATGCGTGTTGTTGGGTGTTTTTTTCTGCGTGGTTCTTGCTTGGTTTGTGTGTTTGTTTGGTTGAACCTGGCCACGTCTTAGACGTGTGTTTTTTTTGGATGTTTCACGTTGTTTTTTTGTTTCACGTTGTTTCACGGTTTTGTTGACTTTGGGTGTTTCACGTGGAAGTGGATGGCATGGCCTTCTGGAAGACGATGTTCTGCATACCAAGCAGGAGTGAGAGTGTAATTATATGTTTGGCTCATGAAGGGCCTTTGGGGGGGACCGAACATCTGACGGCGGCACACTGAGCTTTTCCGTCTTGACTTCAGTGAGCCAGGACCTGCTTGGGAGGAAGGTGTGAAAGGCATACATGATTCTGTCCCTGCAAAAATGGCGGAATTCATCGCAGGGATTTCGATGTTTAATATGTCATGTCCATCCGATTCCTTAGGTTCACAGATTTGTTTCAATGAGGATCAGCACGCAACACTAGTTCCAAATGGTCCGGATTCTGGATACTGATTGAGACACTCATGACATCTGCTATTGCATTGGGCAAAGGTTGATAGTTGTCGGTTAGGTCTACACGCTACTTCCTATTCTCGTCACCAGAATGGAGTAACCACTGCAGCGACTGCTCCTTTTTGCCAGCGGCAGTGTTTTGGGGAGGATGGGAAGCTCTATTCAGAATGTAAATGTGGTCCAAACAAGCCTCGAATGTCTGAAAGTAGCAAAACCATACTTTCACCATCAAAAGCCTAACGTGAAACAGGCGATTGAAACATGTCACCTGTTCCTGCCAATGAAACGGAAAGAAAGCGAATCGAAACGGCATGCGCAGGCCCAGGAGGCCTCTCGCCGCGCTGCCGAGCCGGATGCCCATGGCGCGCCCGTGGGGGGGAACAGTGCCCGTCGGGGTCCGGTGAGTAGCGATGGATCGACCGATGCTTCCATGGTTTGATTGTCCAGGGTGCAGATGGCCGAATGGGACAAACATGGCCGAACAAAACCTCGTGATCCTGGGTGGAAGCAGCCGCTCCAAAGATCCATTGGTGGATGGTTCAAAGGGATGTTGCTGAAATTTCCAAGTCACAGCGGGTGTAACTCTGGAGGCCTTGCAGAGCGACGTTTTGTTTAACCGCTTTGGGATCCAGTTCCTTCGTCGCCCAGGTGCTCGCTGATGAGGAATTTGACCAGCAAACATGTTGGCCAACATGTGCGGCTTGGGGGTATAAGAAGTCACATTAAACCAAAAAACACTCGGTTTAGGTCTTATACATCAAGGATTTGATCAAGTCTTGCAAAAACCAGATTACAGGGTTCCGTTTTTCTTGGTCATGAAGCCCCATCATAGCCTTAAGGCCCTGCTGGAGGCATTCCCTTGGCTAGGGCGATGGATCCAGGTTTCTTCTTGCGGAAAAGACTGTCACGGCTTCCACAGCAGGCTCCCTCGTCACGATTGCCGAAGGTGGGCGCTGTTTTTTGAAGATGGTGAATTACATTCCCTCCAACAATCACGGAAATTGAAAACGACCCCTTGGATCACCAGATTCCCAATACCAAACAGGTGGTGCCATCCATTTCCATGATTGGTTCAGGGATTGTTCCTTTCGGAGGTTCCCAGGGCAGCTTGCTCTCCCACGCTGCGTGCCCGACCCAAGTTGTTAAGTGTTCTTTTTACTATATACATTTAACATCATTTATCTACACAACAGCCAAAAAAAGCACCACCGGTGTACCTCCAGCAACTGTGGAATGTGAAAGCTTCAACTCACACCTACAATGTTTGTTGGGATTGGCAGCCAACTCCATGGTGACCATAGAGGTGGTTTCAATGTCAATCTCGCAACGATTCAGTTTTTTGTTGTTTGGGGAATGTGGAACGTGTGGACCCTCTTTACAGAGCTGACTGGAGCTTAGCAGAGAATCTGGAAGCACATATAATAAAGAATCCCTCACTATAGATACCATGGGTGTTTACTTTCAACAGGAATGAGGGTGGCCTCAGATCCTAAGGTATCTATAGTGAGGCAGGGTCAGCCACCCTCCGCCACCCTACTTTCGTCGCACACGAGCAGCTGCATTGGAGTTGATACACGGACTCTGACTGACCCTTCCTCGGGAATCAATGACACAAGGAGAACTTCTGGAAAGTTTGCTAGCAGCAGAAAGACTAAAGACAGAGAAAACTCATACTTTGTCCGGGTGCTCCTATCACTATAAAGTATCTCACCAAAAGTTGGGTGAGCCCGAAAGTGTCACAGAAAGAAAGAGAAAGCTCCATAACATTGGGTGAGCCAGAGGCGAACTTCGCTTCTGTTTTCCGGAAGCAGGTCCACCGCGACGCCTTGGCGGGCCAAACGGTCGCCAGCACGATGCACTGCACTGCACAAAAAAGAGCACTAAACGTTCTTTTGTTGGACTCTCTTGCTAGCAGACCTACACATCGCCGAGAACATCCGACCAACACCAGACTCAATGCACAAAGGGGTCGATGCGAGCAGATCCCATTTGTTAGCCGAACATCTCAGATGCGGAACTCTCCATGAGCAGCTCGTGATGATTTGTGCGGCGCAAATGGGATCTGAGTGTCTCACAGGAAGGTAGGTTCCAACGTAGCAGACCTTTTGTGAGCCAGCCAAAGGTAGTTTTTTGGAGGTAGGAGCCCAACATAGCTGCTGCTTGTGGTGGCCAGCGCAGCCCAAAGTACCTCACCAAAACCACCAGATACCCCTGTGACGCCATATGAAAAAATCACGAACATCAAGAACAAAACCTCAGCCTCAACAAACTGCTCAACAATGGCAGCGGAAATCAATACCCCAGATCGGAGGGGTCTTAGATGGGAGTGATTTTGGAGAGTTTTGAGGTGTCCACCAGGAGTGGGGCTAGCGAAGGATCCACCAGCACGTACCAGACGCACGTACACTGCGACGGAACGGCATGTGACCGAGACCATCCGACGCTTTTGGGAGGAGTAGAAATTGAGGAAAAATCCGCTTTGAGATGTAAGGGACTGGTTCAGGTTTTGAAGCAAGTCGTTCCAATTGATTGATCAATATTGATCCCAGATATCATTGAATCGTACTACTTTATACTATGTTTTTTTGTTGAACACTGAACACTTGCATTCAGTTTGAGCCTTCCAACCTACAGGTGTAGAATGGTTTTTGATGTCTTATTCTTCCAACTTCAGCAGTAAAGAGCCTTCCGTCTCACGTCACACGTCTCTCTCTCTCTCTCTTCAGGCCATGCCGCCGAGTCATGTCCTCCAGGCACCGAAAGGGAGGGCGCCTGGCGCCAGGTCGACGACTCAAACGGACAACCCCGATCTATCAGAGTCGGTACGACTGGACCCTCCAAAGCTACAGGTGTTTGATGTGTTGTTGCTGTTTTAAATGTTTCTTTTTTTTGGTGTTTTTTTTCAGTGTCTCCTTCTTCACCTTCTGAGAAGGTGCGACTGGAATGTCCAGGAAACTGAGCCTTTTTACCCGGGTTGGGCACAGATGCACTCCCGTGTTGGGATTCAACAATTCCTAAACGTTTGGACATTGGGTGTAAGTCGCGTCCTCTGTGACTTTTGGTGAGGACAGAAGGAGTCGACTTGAGATGCGGTGAGTCATATCTCCAAACAGGTTACCGTGTTCGTGTGATGTGGCGCGTGTTTTGAACGACAGAGCTCGGACCGTGGTTGGTCCTTCGAGTCCGGTGAAAGAGGTCGGGTCGAACGCAGCCCGGCCAGGCCCCGAGCCATGGTAATTATAAAGGAGTTGATTATAGGAAAATCCTATGAAATTCTAGATGAAATGGCACACTTTTTTCGTTAATAGATATAGTATATAGATCGAAACGGATTCATATCCGATCATTTCCGCCGACAACGATTCAACACGTTTCGAGCCATGTGAGTGACACGGGCCGCTGTTTCGTGCGCTCCCACCGGCTTTAGCCAGGGCGGCCTGGGTGGACCCACAAGAAGTGGAGACACAGAGCCTCCAAATAGATAGAAACATACCCTATAAATCCAGTCGTACCTTCGCAGGTTTGGTGATTGGAGGCACTGTTATGTAGGTTTGGAGGGTCCAGTCGTACCTTCTGAGAAGGCACTTGGATCCCTAGGGATAACATCCCTTTCAACATGTATTGAAAGCCACGGTCAATAACCTTCCCTCACTAAGTGCCTCGCTGTACTGGGCCTCACTTTCTGCAAAAGGAATAGCAAATTGTGAGCTGGTCATTTACAGCAGGACCTCGTAAACTGATCCTGTTGAGGTGAATAATCTTCTTGGGGGACTCATTTCCCCAATATATGTTGGGGGAATTGAATAGATTGAACTAACCATCAAAAACATGTTGCAAAGAAACTGAAGGGGTTCAGTCCAGTCACGTCTCCCCAGCCCATGAAATTCGAAACCAAAAACACATGATGATTCTCGGGGAGAGGCCTCTGGGTGTCTCGCCGATCCTGACCCCAAATCCGTGGCAGAAAATCGACTAATCCGTGGCACTCGCGACCACGTGCTGCTGGGTGGAGTGCTGCTGGGCTGAAAGAGTCGGAACGGACCCTGACTGATCAACAGCGCTCCAATCTTCCAAGACACGGCCCTATGGCCCAGCTATGATCGTTATCATGTACACGTGAAGCTGGAGATTGCCCAAGCAGGGAGGCACGTGATTAGTCGATCTAGATCGATCTAGAAGTGGTTTCATTGCCCCAGAAAACCTTCCGTTCGACCAATAAAACAATTGACCTGGTTGTGTAGTGTAAAATCCTTAGCAAAACAATGGCTGTTCGGGATTCAGACCATTAAATCAATGGTGGGCCAGGAAGCCTAGAATTTGCTGGTGGGAAACGCTTGCTTCGAAGGTGCCGTTTCACCTCGACTGGATGCCACAAACATGTATTTATTGGTACCCAAAGCAAAAATCATTTGGTTTTGTTTTGAGGGCGGGAGCAACCCTATAGGCACCCCGGTACTACCGGTACTATAACATATGAATCATAGTTTGGGCTTCTTGCGCCAACCGGAAATCGCCAGGCTTTGCTTGGCGCGAGCCAACAGAGCTGGCGCTCGAGCTCTTCGAGCGGCGACTTGGACGAGCGACGCGACTGACGTCGGTGGGACCCGTGAACGGTGCGAGTGCGGGGAGTTGCAAGCGAGCCACGGCCCCTTCGGGTACGGGATCAGTGGAGTTTTGGAAGGAAACACCCTGCAGAATGATGTGAGACTTGGAACTTTTGAGCTATAGATTACGGGCGTGGTAGAGGATCTGGGAAATGAATCCCAGAGTTTTCCAGGCATCCCCACCTGGGAGGAGGATTGCTCCAGCAGCTTAGCACAACTATGACATCTAATTTAGACCGCTTGCCACTGCACTTCCACATGAATCAGCTTTGGTTGCGAGACCGCCCTTTTCCGTCGTTCTGCCATCCGAAATGGTGTGGTTTCTGTTTGTTTTTTGCACTTTGCACACGCCTTGGGCTCTTTGCCTGTAGCAAGCTATGCTATGATTTAGATGTTGTGGTCTCCCAAAAAGTAAACACCAAGTCTCAGTGGGGACATGGTGATTCAGACTGCGTCCGATGTTGGTCGAGCTGGAGAGCTGGGGCCCAACGCAGCAGCCTTGAATTGCCCGGCATCGCACGGTAGGGTCGGCATGGTGTTGTTTGCTATTGCTCTTTTGTGAAGCTGCTACAGTAGGATCTGAAAGGTGAGGGCATGCAGGCCTGTGGCACGGCGTGCCTGCAAAGGCTGCAACTGTTGCTTGACAAGAGCTTGCTTGCACTTTTGGGGCTGGATACGTGCCGCTCAAGGAGTGTTGCATGCCAGCGTATCATATGATAGAGTATAATTGAGGACGACTTACTTACTTATTCCTTTGTCCCTTAGATTACTTTTTGACGACCACTGGCCGCACTTGTATTCTATAGTCTACACCCAGCCAGTTCACCTCCCGGCCTTTTGAGGATCTTGGTATGCATTAATGGATGTATGAACGGCCCCAACCAATATAATTAGGTTTGTACTTTGAGTACGTTTGAGTCGGTTTGTTCTTCAAAAAGGTGTCCCTGGGGTCGTTTTGGGAGGTCTTGAGACCCCTTCCAGAGTCTGTCCCAGCCGGATCCAGCCTAGGCCGGAACATTTCTACGAGCAGCAGGTGTGTGGCCGGGAGCAATGCTCGATTGTTGAACATTTTGCCGGTCTAGACCGTTCGAGAGCTTTGAAGACGTTTGAAGAATGAAGTTCCTTCCTCTTCCAAGTAATTTTTGGCACATACAATCAGGGACATATACAATATTGTTTATAGTATCAAGTACGATTGTTTTTGTGTACTTGTTTTTACTATGTTCACATGTTGAATAAGACTGTCATGCAATGTCCTGCACGGCTTCCCACCCTGTTCAAAACGTCGATGGTCGACCAGTCGACCGGTACGTCGCTTCGACCAGTCGACCATGGGCCCGGACTTGCCATATTGTCATCCGTATGAATCGCATGAAGCAAGCACTTTCTTGAAAAGCAGTTAAATTCAATCAGTAATAGCAATACCCAGTAAACTTGTTCAGTGGCTATAGGTCTTGGGACGGTGTTGGTGTTTTGATGTCCAGTCCAGGCACCTCCTTTTCGGAATGCAATCCCATTTTGAGTGGTCGAACTGGAGCCGACAGCAGGACATCCGAGATGGCCGGCATGGTCCTGGACTAATTAGGGCTGGTAACAAGTGCTTTTCGAAGACCAGTCAGTCACAGACCGTTTTCTGAAATAGGTATGGAAATGGAAACTCACCGACTATAGGTCATGAGTCATAGACCCTGACAGGTGAGTCTTTGCCATCCAAAAAGCAACGTCCCTCTCCCCGCAGTGTGTTGCCCGCGCCAGGCCCCGGAGCACGTGCCGGAACGCGCCGCCTTTGGACCGCGTGCTTCGGTCCAGGCCGCTGAGTGGTTTCAGCTGTGACCAGACCGGAGGTGTTCGAAGGGTTCCCAAGACGGGGTGGGCACCAAGTGCTAATACATGCGTTCAAAGCCGACTTTACAGAAGGGTGGTGTGAGAAAGAAAGATACCAACCCGGCCTCCGCCTGGTGCAAGGACTGTAGGAACCACTGCTCACTGAACCTTTGGTGCATGATGAACACTGAACCTGCGGGGTGTCATGTTTACAGTGAGAAAGTACTGGGCGTCCGACGGAGGCGCGACACCTGTTTTAGAAAGGCCGTGCTTGGGTTCAAAACGGTGGTCACTCAGCTTCTGGGTGTGCTAGATCCACCTCGTGGCTTCATTTGAGGTGTTGTAGCTCTTGGTGTTTGACCATCCTGTTCACACTGCCTTATAACCCAGACTATCCATGTATGCAATAGTTACTTTCATTAGGGTCATACATGGACTAAAAATGTCTAGCAAATGTATGCAAATGTATCTAGCTATTCCATGCATGCATGGTTTGGTTGTGATGGCCGAGGAAGATCCTGGCAAACAAAATCGACATTTGCCAGGCTTGGTGGATGCACATTCCGGTCTACAGCACGGCCTTTGACATAATATGGATCGTATCCTACCCAGACCATTTATGTATGACTGTAGATGACTGTGTGACTGTATGGGTAGGATACAATATACATCCATGTATGGATCCACACTGTATGTCATCATATGTCATCATATGTCATGATTGCATGACCTATCTACATGGGGTGGATCACCTGCTGAACAACCCTTCCACGAACGCACACGGGTTGCAGGCGGTTGTCGAGCCACTGGCAGGAGCGAACGCTGCGGCGAAGCGGAGCGGCGAAGCGGCGAAAGTCTGGGCCCACCAGAGATGGTGGAGCTCAAAGTCTGTGGCATCTCCACTTCTCATCCACCATTTGATCCGGGACCAAAGTCTGTGGAAACCCTTCGGTCGGTGCTTCGGAACGAACAGATGAACAAACAGGTTTGCCTCGTTCGAAACGAGGTGCCGGTGACCCGGCGAAAGACTGAAGCACCCGAAACGTCACCCAAAACGTGAGGGTGAAAGGAACCAGGAGCCTGGGTGGGTATTGAATGACCTGGAGCCTGAAACAGTGACCCCTGGAGCTTGGAGGATCAAGTATCCACAATATGGTCAAGCTTCCTATCAAAAGAGAGGCCAGTCAGGCTCTTAGTATAGTATAGTCTGTACTATATCATGGTCCTCCTTTTCCTCCTGAATGACTCCAACCAGCTCAGAAGGTGGAGTTGGCCCCACCAAAGCTCGTAGTTGGAGTCCTAGTGTTTATGTTTACCACCTGTTTGAGGAGGGGGAGGCACCAATCTACTTGCGATAGAGCCCCTCTTTCCCTAAATTCCACCACCTCAATGGCCTATAGATGGTGGTGGAATAGATGGATCTGTTCTTGCCATGGAAGTTCTATCTCCTAGGGATCCAAGTACCAAGTCTGTTACCTGTGACCTTCCTTTGTTACGGTACGACTGGATCCGGGTCGTCCCGGACGTGTCTCCGTGCCCCCGAACCAACCCCAAACACACCAATCCCATGGCCGAAACCGGCCGAATCCCAAAACACTGCACCGTTGAGTCGGTCAGATCGCTCGCCGGTCAGATCGCTGTGATTGGTGAGATCAAAAGAAGGCATCCAACTTGACCTTTCTAGACCTGGATTGATTTGCTGATCAGGTGACGTGTCATTTTCTGTTAGGGAATCCCGTCGGTATGGGCAACGAACATGGGAATGTATCATAATATATCTGTTTATTTGGTTCCCAGGAACTGGACAGGGCATCAAAGTCATTGACCTCTCCAAGTGTTTCGACAGGATCATCCCAGTTTTTGTTGTCGTCTTCTTCTAAAGCACTGAAAATGCAAGAACGTGTCCATCTATTGTTCGACGAATTAGGTTGCACAAAAACTATAGCTTTGTCGATCCCCAAACCATCTTCCTCCGGCGGTTTCTTCCTTCCAAAAAAGACATCCATTCCAAAAGGAACCTGCCCAATTCAGGGCCAGAGCAGCCCAAGCCTCGACCGCAGAGTGGCATGGCAACAGGATGGACAGGATGGCGCTCCAAAGGGTTCTCCCTTCAAAGACGGAATGCGTTTGGTTTGCCATGTGATAGTTAGAGGACGGTAACACTGGGGCCAGTTTGGTTCGCCTTCCTTATACCTTTGAGATTTTGTGGTTTCTTTGTCAAGCCGTCTTAGTTTGGCCAAAGCAATGATAGGTTTGGAAAGCCCTGGCAGCCTTCCGTACTGGAGTGCACATGCTTTGGTCTGGATACTGGGAGCAACAACCTGGACCTGGCATGGCTCCACTCATCTCTACGCCATGAAACGCATCTTGCCCTTCTCAGCCATGGGCTTCGTCAACTGGGCTTTGTGAGCCTGCACGCCCAAAATTGTGACCGCACTGCGTTGGGAAAAAAAACGGTTGAACCCCCAGCAGCTTCATTCCTGGGTCACCTGGCTGGTTTCGCCCCAGCCCACTAACGCTACCAAAAAGACCTCTCCAGACAGGACTCGCCTTGAATTCAGGTCCAGGCCTCACCCTCCGCCGCGTTTCCAAGGTGCGCCCAGTCGCTTCACTTCAAGGCTGGACACGCTGGAGGCGCTTCCGGTTACGTGGATTGGTTCAGAACGGGGTCGCGGTTTTGGGGTCAGTGGGAGATGCAAGGGAGTGGTAATTACAGGGTTCATGTGGCTGATTCCCGAAGTGTATGTTGTTTTTAACATGTTGTTTGTTTTTGTTCATGATGTAGCTGACGGCCTTCTTGACCTCGTTCAGCTTGAGAAGACAAACATGAACCCGTATGATGTTGATTCAGTTCTGTTTCTGTTGCAGCGAGACCGTATGATTCCCTAAGTAGAGACGGTGTGATATCCTTTTGAGGGCTTTGCGATCACGTTTCTCCCTACTTAGTCTATTTACGGGTGTTTAAGATAGGCGGATAGGCCTGCAATATATGTTTCAGGACTATAACACCCACAGGACCATTTCTTCGATTCAACCACGATAGGGACTGCAACAAGTGTTCGCGACCAGAAACATCAACCAAGAAACGGTCGGATCACTCACTGACAAGGGTCTTGATATGTCTTGATCAGTGACCCAACTTCACCTGAAATGGTTGAACCGGGGCAGTTCACCCAAGTACCAAGTGGAATGAGGATCCACTGAGTATATCCAGCCAACAAAGAATACACAACAACAAATCAAAACCGTTTCTGAACGCTTAGATATCGTGCCATAACCGCCGCGCGGGCGTGAGGACCAATTGTTGGTTCCACCTTCGCCTGTGAGGCGCGGTAGGTGGGTGGGCTGAGGGCTGGCGATAGGAAAGTTGAATCCCCCTACACCTCCTCCAGTCGTACCTCCTCAGGTACGGTATGACTGGACCCTCCTGGCACCCACCCCAAATACATTCTCAGAAGGTACGACTGGAGGCCTAGGGAATGTACCCCGCTGAAGACAAACATGGACCCTGAAAACCACTGGTTTGATGACGATCGAGGCGTCTGTACACCCGTATCACGACTGACACGTTAAGTGTCGTTAAGTGTTCATTTGCGCGACACCAATGCCGATGTGACGATGGCCAAAACCGAGGTCGACAGCTTCAAGTCCAGGCTGAAAAATGCCAATGACGCAGTGAAAAGAATTGTCAAGATGCTCACAGAGAGAATTGAGAGACTCGAAAGGGCGCAGCAAGCTGAGCCGAAACCACTCAAACCGGAGAAAGGCGTGACCTCTGGCACGCAGACGGGGGAACCAGCGCCGCGTCCACTGGTGCCAGCAGCCACTTCCGGTGTAATGTCATCAATTGGCGAAGAAGGGGATGACTATATACTCAACATATACCATGACCACCAAAATTCAGGAGATGGAAGATCATTTTGGTGATGAATTGTCATTGGAAATTGTTGACAAAATCGGGACACTGGAGCCACGTGACGTTGACGAGCTGATCAGTTGGAGAAAAGGCAGGAAGGGACGCCCTCGCCAGGAAGAAAGGCAGGTGACACGAAAAGAGGAAATGGCTCAAGAAGATCACCGAGTGGCTTGAACAGAGGTGAGCAACTGCACCCACGCGACCCGTCGTGCGTTTTCTTCATTGTCATCCACATCCTCAAGAAGCACAAACTTCATTAACTACCAGGCCACATGGGCCTGCTGCATCCTTTCACTTTTTTTTTGCACAGAAGCTTAACCTAACGGTTTCCTACCCTCAGCACTTGTGACATGGACTTCACCTAACTTAACAGAATATAAGTATATGAGCAACTGAGCAACCACTTACTTCTATTTGGGCTTTACTAAAGTAGTCTTACGGCATGCTCCATTTGCTTGTCTATCATTAATCATCAGTATTCGCTTGTGAACGAGAGGGCCCCACATAAACGAGATACTTTTGTTTGATGTGACTAGAGTAGTCTGAACGAGATAGTGTAATTTGCTACTAAAGTAGTCTGAGCGTGATACTGTGACATGACCTTCTGCTTAAGTAGTCTAAACTCTAAACAAGATAGGGCCTCCACATATGAGATAGTGAATTTGAGCCAAGTACCAAATAAATGACGTAGCACATATATATCTATATCTATATTATATGTACTGAAATTTATGTGTCTTTTTCTGGGGCAGCTGGGTCTGACCTGGCAAGGAACACGTTTTATTAGGGACATGCCAATGTGGAATTCTGGTTTTAAAATATATCAGTATTGGGGGGCTCGAGCTGGGCTCTATTAATAGCAGAAGATTACTTAATCCTATGTCAACATTACTGGTAACGTGATGGTGGGTTAATATGAGTTAAACATGACCGCGATTTTTTAAGCTTCATAGCTAGTGGTGAGTGGGTCATGACTGGTTGTGGTTTCTTGACTCACACTCTTGGGGATGGGTTTGAATGATCTATTGGGAGTGGCGACAGAGGTTGAGAGGAAGTGAAGAAGTGGAGAGATGGAAGAAGACATCTCTGGTCAAGGGACCCATACCAAAGATAGTAGGAGGATGCACGCGCTTCCGGTTCTCCTTGTGGAAACGGGGAAGAAAACGGTCCAAAGCACACGCTGCCAGAATCAACTTTGCATTGATCATGTCAACCATTGATTGCACCGTGACGCCAAATGAAGCCATACCAACAACCACATTCCGACTACCAGACAGAACAATGAAGAAACGACTATATAAAGGCCCACGCTTTGCATACAAAAAGGATTTGAATCATGCAATGTTCATATAACATAATATATATACATGTGTTTTAATACTTAAAGCAAATTGGTTTCTATACCAGCATCCGAAAAATGGTGGGGCTTTTGGAGACTTCAATGTGCATGTTTGGTGAGTCTGTTGATCTTCCGCTCTGCCGGTTCTTTCTTTGCAGGCTGCCGGTCGTCGAGCAACAGGCGTGGAACGTTCTAGCATGGTTGAGGAGTGGTTTGGGTCGGAGGCCAAGAACAAGCCAAAATTGCAAAACACACTTGATGAGCATCGATGATATTTATATATACACATAATATCAAAGGTGTTTTCCTGACTAGGGTATCTATTCTATTCTTTGGGGAATAGTAGTTCTTCTTCCACATAGGCTTTGACAAAATGGGACGTCCAGTGGCAGGTTTGTCCCCCAACATTTGGGACACTGAGCCACTGAGAGTCTCGGTGTGCCGCAGAGAATCGGAACCAAAGAATGAGACGTCGGTTCTGCTTTGGGAGATCTTTCACACCCAAAAGCTATCCAAAAAGAAACCTCATGATGTGTTGAGATATTGTGATTGGGTTGTGATTTTGTTGAGGCCAATGGCAGATGCAGATCCCAATGGAGTGTTTTTTGTTGTGTTTTTTTGAGGCCACGTGAATACCCACTGGCAGATGCATGTTCAAACCATTTGGAGTAAACACCTTGCTACGCACACCTTGCTGCAGACCAATCTGATTCTAGCTCACATGAAGACCTTAGCACCAATAGTGTCTATAGCAATCACTACACGCCGTCACATGGAAGTGGTGGAACAAACATGCACCTATTTGGTTATCGGAACATGGTCATTTCTTCGGGGCCACTTGTTGCCCCCAAGGATGATTCGATCCTGGATGGCAGTCTGACCCATGGCAGTGGGCCTCGGAAGCCGGAACCAACAGAGGTGGGTCAGAACCCGACTGTTCGACTATCCCAGGCCACCCCAGGTTTTCCGGGTCCTAAGGTCACTGGCCACCTCTGGAAGAGACCTTCTGGGCCAATTGGGTCCACCCAACCAACGGCGACGGCATCAGTTCCATCGGTTCCATCCATCGGTCACCGGCATAGGAAGAGCTGCCTCAAGCGCAAGCGCGTGCAGGTAGCTTGAACAGCGGACAGGTTATGGCGAACCGCGCGGGATGCGTACTTTAAGAGAGAGAGAGAGAGAACCCCTGGTCCAATGGGTTTTGGTCTATGTTCCTTGATTCCAATGGCATTTTTTTGGGGTGTCATTGTTCTCGCGTTTGCTTCCCCCTCTAAAGCCACAAGTTCCAATACCCAGCTGTGAGGGTTCTCACACGTGGTGCGTCTCCATCCGCGAAGTTGGGAGTTCCCAAGGTCGATGTGTGTGTGTCGGTGTCGCTAGGTGAAGGACCAACAAAGGTTGAAGGACCCTATATAGCCTATCCCATAGGTACCCCAGTAAGGTCCTAGTTCAGGTCACTTAACCTCTCTTGGGATGGCTATGGATGGGATGGATCCCATCTAACGCGCAGGACGACTCAGACGACTCTTGCAGTCCTTGGCAAGCCTTCGGCGCGCGCCAGTAGGAGAAGACACGAAGCCGTTGAATGCATCGTCAAGAGGCCAATTCGAAAGAAGCAGGTGATGGTGGGGTGCCCTATAGTGCCCTTTGCAGCAGGCTATCGCTATAACACCCACATCTGACAGTCTGCGGGGTTAAAAACCTTTGACCGTTCTGGGAGTCTATGAACCCGGGTTTTGATGGGTCAAGAGCCACAGCCACTGGACTTGTTGGTGGGACCTGGAAGGCTGACAGGAACAGGCCGTCGACAGCCGGTGGACGGAAAGAGGAGGAAGAAAGGAGAAGAAATATCTGAATAAAACAAGTGCTAGCTGCGCAGAAAAAACAAAGAGAGTGCGCAGTCCGGATTACCTCAGCATGTTGCTTGGTTGGTGTGGCTTGTGGTGATTGCGGCTGTGGTTGTCGTCGTTGTTGGTTGGCGTTTCCTGTCTCGAGCCCACGCCTGGCCAAGGAACATACAACACCAAAGCGGGAACACAAAACACCGGCAGGAACCCAGGGCACCATTCCAGGAACCCAACACCTACATGGGTTTGTATTTTTTGCGTGTAGGTGTTGATGTAATGGTTGGACATGTAATGGTTGGAAGTTCGACTTGAGCGATTCATACCCCCGAATCATACCTCGAATCATACCACCGAATCATACCCCTCATACGTGTAAGAACCAGGGTTTTAGGTGAAGCATGGTGAAGCTTTGGCTGTTCTTTGTGCCGTGCAGATGTCCGTTGGTGAGAACAATTTTTTTTGCAGAATTTAGTGGCCGTACGGAATCACACCCGATCCATGCCCGATTCATACCCGAACCACGCACCCTGTACACAGTTTCCCACCTTGTGATTGTTCCCACCACAGTCAAAAGGGTCGTGCCTTTGGTGGGGTTTGGAGTCTTTGGTAGAAGAGTTCCTTGCCTAGTCTGCCCAGCAATCACCAGATGCCGTACTGCTTGCCTACTGCCTCAGGCCCACTGGAAGTCTAGCCAGTCCAACATTACAGTTTCAAAGCTGCGAATCATACCCTCGAATCATACCCCGAATCATACCCCGAATCATACCCTCGAATCATACCACCTATTCAAACTTCCCGGCCCGACTACGGGAAAAAATGCACACCCACATTCAGGCAGCGATACCACTGTTGCCGGAAGGCAACACACCGACACATGGGAACGGAAAACACCACAGAACACAAGACACCATTACAGGAACATGGAACACTGGCACGCCGGAAGCCAAAACCTTCTCTGAAGCTGAAGTCCCCTTCCCGGAACCGCAGCCACCAATCCAGGAAGGACACACACACCGTAGACTCTGCCCGGACATGACTCGAATGACAAGACACCCCACCCAAGTGGGAACAGAAAACACCCAACCCAAATACTGAGACTGGGAGAAGAAAACACCCAACAGAAATTCTTCGCCCAAATCCTCCTACTCGGCAAGCCCCCCAGCCGGGAACAGAAAACACCCAACCCCATTTTACTAATAGGAAAAAGAAACCTGTGTGTGCGGGAAGGGAAAACATCGTGAAGGGAAATCACCAACCCAGGAACAAAACCCATCCCGCCAAACTAGGAACAAAAAACACCTAACCCAAATCCTTCTACTTGTGACGGAAGAGCCAGCATCGAGCTGGGAACAGAAAGCACCTAACCCAAATCTCCCTTTGGGGAAAGAGGAACCTGTGCGTGCGGGAAGGGAAAACACCGTGGGAAGGGAAAACACCAAACCAGGAACAAAAAACCGGAGTCCTGCGACGGACTTGCGACTCAGGTGGTGGTGCCACCAAACGCCGGGGTTCGCCTGCAAAAAGAATGGTTCAACTTTAACGACTGCAGCGTGAAGAGGACCAATCAAAAGGCTTGGAATCTTCTGGTCCGCGATCTACCAGGACCGGCTGCAATCTCGCGAAGGAAAGGAGCAGGGCAAAGAAAGACAGAGGAAACAGCAGAAGGACGCACCAAAATAAGAGAGGAACCAGAAGGATGCGAGGCTGGCGATTGAGGCGTGAAATTGATTCTACTTATATAAGGTCAACCTCTCCCCCAAAGCCCGGAGTCCGTTGTGGCAGCTTCACTTGTCGTTGAAAGGCCGGAACAACAGCACGTCTCTGTGCCCGTTTAGAACCCTACCAGTCAATTTGTGAAGGAACACTTTCTCAGCTGCGATGAGCCAATGTTTGCTCAGATGGGCGGGTGGCCTTCTCGAATTCATGGAAAATGGATCGGCATGTGGCTACATGGTATCGAACATGATCGAACCTTTGGGTGGCCTGTCGACAGCGGCCAATGTCGCCCAAAGGATTCGAGCCTTTTTTTGGAGACCTGGTATTCAGTTCCATCAGTGACAACGCCTCAAGCTTGCAAAAGTTCTGCAATGTTGCCGCTCAAGCCGCTGGTAGCGGTCCCTCGTCAGCGGTGGTGACGGTCACGCTGAACTTCTGTTCCGTTGGTTTCATTTCATCTGTTGTTGTTCCCCACCTGCCAGGTGAGGGTTGTTAGATTTTATCAGAGCTCTCCTTGCCTCTCCTTTCCGGATCTCAACTGCAAGTGTCAGTGGGCAGTGCCAGAACTCCACTGCGAGCGCCAGATACGACAAACAAAAAAAAACACAAACACAACAACACAACAACCAAAAAAAAGACTTCACAAACAATGACCAAACACACTCACAAACACACACAACCACATCACGCGACCACAACACACAACCACAACGCACAGCCACAGACACACAACAACAGCACACAATCACAATGTGCAACCACAACACACAACCACAACACTCAACACACAACCACAAAGACACAACAACAAAACACACAAGTACAACAACATTTTGCGCGGCAGGTGGTCACGAGTCACAGGGTAGCACTTATGCCAACTGGAGACCCTGGCGACAGCCTGACGCGAACTCCCTGACACAAAATAACAATCCCAAACCCGAGGACCCACAAGCAAAATCGAGAACCACAAAACTCACGACCATGGCAACATGCTCCTCACCGGGACATGAAAACAAATGATTGAACTGTCATGGTGGGGATCACTCTATTAGTAATTGTTTACCGTAGTCGTTTTGTGTGAGTGGATCATTCAACGACTTTAGGAATTTAACAGTGTGGTTTTGAGCAAGTCCAATCCAGAACGTGAATCTTCTCAGCCCCCGCCCCGGGGACCCCCGCACCGAACGTCCCGGTCCCGAGGCAGCCGGCGGAGAGGCCGTCACGCTCGAGGCGCGGGTGGATCCGGTCGATTTGGTTCTTCGAAGGTGAGCCAAGTCCAGGGTGTGGCCCATTGAGGTCATTTAAGATGTTTTTTTCGAGATGTCGACCCATCCCCGCTGACCATCCTCCACTGGGCCGCGGCCAAGTCCGAAAATGGGATGTATAGGGCCCTACCCGACCCTATAGCTTGTTTTCCCGATCACTGAACCCTGCCATGGAGCAGCATTGTAGTCCCAAATCCAAGCGTAAGAATCACGGACCCTCAAAGGTTAACCCAAGTGGGTCCAGGCAAGCCACTACTAGTAGTTCGTAGGCACTGCAGTGATTCCAGTTTTTAGACCCAAGTCAATTATATAATTAACTGTAGACTGACCGAATTTGCGGGAGAAAGTCCGAAACGTGGTTGCCTGGGATCTCCTCCTTTCGAAGGTGCATGTTCAGTTCTGTGATCTTTCATGCCGAGCCGTGGTGGGGTGCCGAAAATACGACATCGGTCCGTTTGTTGATGGGATTCATCTTCACCAAGCCCGCTTCTCCCCAAAAATGGGTGAACCATTGTATTTGTCCATCGTCCCTGTCACTCCAAGCAAGTGGATCCAGTTTCCATAAACAAAGACATCAGATCTGGCTAACGTTGTCCACGGCCGTTGAATCCCAGCAGTACCAGGACGAATCCAATGATAAGTGCAGACGCCGGAGATTCCCCAGGGTCCGGTCCAGTGCAGACACCGGTCCGACCCCGTCGGTCCAGTCGACGTGGGGTTTTTCAGTCCCATCACGGATCGCGCGTGAGACCCGAGACATGCGAGACATGCGGACCCCGGAAAACGCCATAGTCGAAGTCGAGTTCTTCAACCTCTGGTGAAGGGATCCACCATGATCCACCGTTTGCATGTGTTTCTTTCTTTCCCTAGGGATCCAGTCGTACCTTCTCAGGTACCGTGATCGGAGGCACTGTTATGTAGGTTTGGAGGGTCCAAGTACCGTCTGAGAAGGTACTTGGATCCCTAGGGTTTTTGCTTAAAAACAGCACCCTTTGTTCATCCGTCTCGGGGGCCGTCTTGGGGAGCAGGGCTGGGGCGCCCACCACTCCGTTCACATGGCAAAAAGGACACGGCCATGGCCTAAAACCACCTATATCAAGCCCGGGATAGTCTACATGTTACATGTGATTGCACGATAGTCGCTTTATTTTTATTGTTGTTTTACTAATTATGTATAATTCTTGCAAGGTTTGATGTGAAGGATGTCTCTTTGGGCACGCATGCACTCAAGACTGAGTCGGGCAATCGATCACCTCCCCTGGAAGTCCTGGGCCGAGGCGAGAAGCCCAACTACTCTGCAGGGATGTGGCGTGCCTGGCAGACTTGGCTGAAAGCAAGTGGTTTGACTGGGGCTCCTCCAAGGAATTGAGGGACCCCCGCCCAAAAGGATGGCCCACTGGATCCTGGAATCGATGGACATGGTGGATGCCCCTGAAAATCGGACCATGAAATCCTCAGGGCCATCAGAGCTGGTGAACTTCCATGAAACCAGGTTGAAGCTCTTTAGTATCAACCAACCAACCACCAGCTGATACAACCACTAGCTGACTTCCATGGTTCCAGTGTATCATGTTGAACCTCTTTTCGACTGTTCGCTGGGTCGACGGTTCAGCAGCCTACTCGAAGGTCGAAGCAGCGTGAACGACCCGACCTTTGAGGGTCCAGCCATGACATGACCCCTTTTAGCCTGGTAACCCGGTAGTGGTGGATATAGTAGGTTCTGGGCAATTGCTTGATTCGTTCTGGGCAAAGGACTTCATCCAATAAGTCTGAATATTTGGGTGTCCTGTTCCATGAGATGCCATCTAGGCATGGCATTCGCGGCAATCCATGATGCAAAGTACAAAGGATCCTTGCAATGGGAAAGGTGTTTACTGTGGCTACCGCTAATTACTGCTGCTACTGCTGCTGCTGCGATCTGACTTGGGTAACCGCACACAGATCGATGGGTGAAGAACATCCAACATGTTTCCACCTGTTCGGGGATGTGGTTCTTTGGTATACAGGCTACAGGTATCCCATGACCTGCAGCAGTCAGTAAACAAGAACATCACTAGTTCCGAGAATGGTAGATTTTAGGGCTTGGGCGAGTTTGCTTCGATCAAAGATCGCCTCTGCCAGGTGGAAGCGCAGGGAAGATCCAGGCGAAGACGGATCCGTCGATTTACGCAATTCTCGCGCGCTACGTGGGAGAAAGACGAGTTACACGTGATCCGTTGCTATTGTGATGTTTGTTGTGTTTTAAACACGTGCACACCAAGCAGAGTTCATGCCAAGGAGTGTTTCCAACTCCTCATCCACTAATCTGAAGGTATCGATTTGTAGTATCAATAACTGCATGGCCTGTGGTCGAACCGTTTTTGCTGAAGACTGAGTTCAAAAAAACATGAATTAGATCTATTCAGAATAGATTTTTAAGGATCTATTCAGTCTATTCAAAACATGAATATAGATACTAAAACAACTGTTTCCAGGCGACTTTGCCAAATGCCACCGTTTAAAGACTAGACTCTAGACTTCCAAGCTAGGCAAACGCCGGCCTCGATCGAACTCAATGAACTTTGATGGGTTCTATCGAGATGCCCCCAGACGACGGCCACAGGTAAGGACGTCTTTCAGCAGTGGTTGCTCGCCACCGCGGCCAAGGACGATGCCCGACGATGTCGGTTTCAGCGAAGTGCATGGATTTGCGTCACCAAGAACCACTCCCCCGTTTTGCTCTACCACATTGTAAGGCTGTGACTGCCCTCTGCCCTGCCCAGTTGGATTCGACAGTGAGATTCGACATGCATCAGACTCACCAATCTGTTGGGCAAGCAATGATCCTGGGTGGTGGTTTCAGATATTGTTACTTTCAACCTTTACAACCAGGTTCCTACATGTTCACCACTGACTATAACAATATCTGCCAAGTAAAGGTTCAACCACTGGCATGTAAATATCTTGGCGTGATTGAAACCACTGACTATTAATTTGTGAGTTTAAGCCCACCAACGAGGTTCCTACATTTTGAAAATAAGAGATACTTGTATAATCCGGGACGCAGAGATAGAAGAAATGTTTTGAATATTTCAAATGGAAGGTGCAATTTTGGTGGTTTCCAAGCAAGGCTTTAAATAGAAGCAAATCCCTTGTGCAAGAGGTGCTTTGTTGATGCTTTTTTGATGCTGTTTGGGCACTTTGAACTCCAATATCTTCTATTTGAACGATTTTGCCAGAGAAGCAGGATTTCATGGTATTTACAGTGAAGTCTTGAAGTTTTGGATGATCTTGTCCAAAATTTAGCCGGGACAGACGGTGCAAGTTAAACCCAAAAAATCAGAGGACCTAGTGCACAACCCAAGATGTCCAGAATCCCGGTACAAAACGGTAAAACAACCTTGTTTTTTTAGTGTTTAATCTTTTTCTGAAGGTCAGATCCACAAGACAGCAGAACAACAAGTGAAGGTCAAATAGAAGATATTGCCAAAGCAACCAAGCACATCAAATAGAAGAAATGTATCATATGTGATTATTTTTGTGTTACAAAATAATCTGGTAATATCTTCTATTTGAAACTGAGTGCAAAGCAGCCTTTTCCTACCCCATGAGTCCATCTTCAGAGCTTTGCTCTCACCAGGGTTTCTCCCTCAAAGTTAAGAAGATCAGACATTCCAATAATTATCCCTAAGATCAGTCCCATTGGGGCCTCGTGAAAGGGACTTTCCCAAATAGGTCATGTTTCTGGATATTCTTGCTGTTTTGTTGTGAATATGTATCTATCTATATATCTATCTATTAGATCTATTCATCAATGCTTGCATATTACCCAGAGATGCCATTTGCAGTGAAGAAACAACGGACCGGCGAGGAAGGAAACAATCTGCGTGGACCAAACATGAAATCAAATAGAAGATCCAAAACAAGCATTTCAAACAGAAGATGTACCTCACCGGACAGATTTCAAATAGAAGATATTAGATATTAGGCTATTTAGTGGTTTTTGCAAAAGTAGCTATATAACATGATATAACACCTCCTTTATGCTCCGGGGAAGCCCTGTTCTTCTATTTTTTTCGCGCGCACCAGAAGCAGTTTCAAATAGAATATGGCAATTCTGAATATTCGGGAGTTTCTGGAATCTCTGCGTCCCGGATTATAGTTACTCAAATTAATATCAATATTGTGATTGAAATATGACTCGACATTATTCTTGGAAGGAGAGCCTGAACATATTTACTCTCATGTTTGCCACACCGTGGAGAATATGGGATTTTCACAAACACATATACTCTGAACCAGTTCATGTTTTTCACCCTACGCCACCAGGCCTATTGTGTTCATGCGCAGGGCCCAGAGCTTCTGATGTTCTCCCAAACTCCTTCCACAAGCCCTGGTAGTTCCATGTAGTTCCAACCCCTGGTCGTGGTGGTTTCCGTGCACCCAAGCGTTCCAAGCATGGCATCTGAACGCCCGTTACGCGCCGGCGACGCTCCAGGAGCCCCGGGGCGGCGCGGTGCTCACAGAGCCCATGCTGAAGACCTTGACGCCCGGTGCATTCGGCGAGTGTGGCGGCATGGTCGGCTGGTGTCCGCGCTGGGTGACCTGCACATGGCCGGTAGAGCTTCGGGAGCAGAGGAATCGTTGAGATCTTAGATCGAGCGCCGATCTAGATCTTAGAGATGAGCTTAGTCTTAGTAAAGGTTCCAGGCATCACATTGTTTGTTTTGTTCAAGATTGCACCATTATGTACAGTACCCCAACACCATCAATGGGTTGACATCTTGGAAGGAAATTCCATGGACCAGGTCAACCCGCATGCAGTGAGCATCCGGAACCAAGGTCATGAACAGAAGAGTGGACAAAAACCCACTGGCTGTTCATGTAGCCAGTTCTTGAATATGACAGTGTTGTACCTTGATGTATTTCGAACTAAACCACATATGCTTGCCCCGTATGCTTGCCCCATATACCCTTCCAGTTCCATCCCGATTCACTCATGAGGTGGTATTTGTTTGTTTGAACAAGTATTTTCCATGTAGCTGCTGTCATGATAGAAGTACAAAGTACATTGACTAGAAGACTAAGAGTGTAGGCATTGCATTGGCAACTTTGCCCTTCCCGAGCTTTAGGGCTTTGATATTTGCCACACTTCTGCCTATGACAATTTGTTGATGTTCCGCCATGTGTTTCTTCCGCTTTTGCGGATATCAGGAGATGTTGATTTTCGCAGTTCCTGGGTTCCGTTGTGTGTGTGTCCACCCCTGGACAAGGGGTTTCGTCCAACTAATCCACT